ATTCCTAAATTATAAACTTTAGTTCCCTAATATATTGTCATTATAGTCACAGGAAATAATTAGCTTGACAAAATGATAATTATCTATTTACAGTGAGTTGAACCCGAATATGACCTGAATTGGAAATGACCCGACCTGATTGTAAATTTGTAACCTACAAATTATTGACTTGAACATAACCCGACTTGAATCCGAGAATGACCCGACTTGGAAATAACCCGACCTGATTATAACCCGCAAATTATTGACTTGAACCGAACCCGAATTGAACCCGAGAATGACCCGACTTGATTATAACCCGCAAATTATTGACTTGAACCAAACCCGACTCAAACTCGAGAATGACCCGACCTGATTCTAACCCGCAAATTATTGACTTGAACCGAACCCGACTCAAACCCGAGAATTACCCTAATCCGTTTTAACCCGTGAAAACCGGAATTAAACCCAACCTATATATTGTTCACCCGACCCGAATTTAACCCGACCTGTTATTAACCCGACCTAAACCCGACCCAAACTCGATAAGAAGTATGACCCGACTAAAGCATGACCCAACCTAAACCCGACCCGCATAGGTTATGGAATTAATCCGTATTGACCTGACCCGAGTTGACCCGACCCACTCTTATCGACCCAAACCCAACCCGTTTACCCGAATTGACAGCTCTACCCGAAACCTCCAAAATTTCTCAAAAAGTGTGGATATTAGCCTTCAATTTTGGAATTTTTTTGACTTTTATCACCCAAAAATAAAAACTACCAAAATGTTTACCATGGTCCCTAATATCCTCCGGGGGTCCAATTGGGTGGGTGGAACCATCCAATTTGCCTTTAAACGACCAATTTACCGGTTTAGAACTTACACCGATTTCATTAATTCAAGCCTACAACGAACATTTATGACAACAAATAATGATTATATATGGTTCCAAACGACATTATATGGCCCCGAGATGTATTCCCTATAATTTCAAGACTTTTCGACACAGAGCCCCGAAACCTCTAAAATTTCTCAAAAAGCGTGGATAATTAGCCTTCAATTTTGGAATTTTTTGACTTTTTTTCACCTGGAAAATAAAATTGCAGAAATGTTTACCATGGTCCCTAGTACCCTCTGAGAGTCCAATTAGCTGGGTGGAACCATCCAATTTGCCTTTAAACGACCAATTTACCAGTTTACAACTTGCATCGATTTCATTAACTCAAGCTTATTACGAACATTTATGACAACATATAATGATCATTTATGGATCCAAACAGCATTATATGACCCCGAGATGTATCCCTACAATCTCAATGCTTTTCGACACCGAGCCCCTAAAAATTCGAAATATCTCAAAAAGCGTAGATATTAGACTTTAATTTTGGAATGTTTTGACTTTTTTTCGCCCGGATATAAAAATTGCAGAAATGTTTACCATGGTCCAAAATACTCTCAGGGAGTCTAATTGGGTGGGTGGAACCATCCAATTTGCCTTTAAACGACCAATTTACCGGTTTACAACTTACACCGATTTCATTAATTCAAGCCTACAACGAACATTATGACAACAAATAATGATTATATATGGTTCCAAACGACATTATATGGACCCGAGATGTACTCCTTAGAATTTCAAAACTTTTCGACACATGGCCCCGAAACCTCTAAAATTTCTCAAAAAGCATGGATATTAGCCTTCAATTTTGGATTTTTTTTGACTTTTTCCGCTCGGAATTAAAAATTGCCGAAATGTTTACCGTGGTCCCTAATACCATCCGGGAATATAATTGGGTGGGTGGAACCATCCAATTTGACTTTGAATGACCAATTTACCGGTTTACAACTTGCATCGATTTCATTAATTCAAGCCTAACACGAACATTTATGACAACTAATAATGATCATAAATGGTTCCAAACGGAATTATTATGACCCCGATATGTATCCCATAGAATTTCAATAATTTTCGACACCGGGCCCCGAAACCTCCAAAAATTCTCAAAAAAGTGTTGATATTAGCCTTTAATTTTGGAATTTTTTTGACTTTATTTTTGCCCATAAATTAAAATTGCCGAAATGTTTATCATGGTCCCTAATACCCTCCGGGATTCTAATTGGGTGTGTGGAACCATTCAATTTGCTTTTAAACGGCCAATTTAACAGTTTAGAACTTGCACCGATTTATCGGTTTACAACGACCAATTTAATTAACTTGCACCGAACTCGACTTGAACCAAAATTTACCCAAATCCGTTTTAACCTGTCTAAACCCGAATTTAACACGACTTATTACTAACCTAGCTTGAATTCAAACCGACCCGTTCCTAACCCGACCCGAATTTAACCCAACTGTTACAAACGTGACCCGAAATCAACCTGAATTGTTATTGACCTGACCCAAATTTAATCTGACTTGTTATTGACCCGAACCGAATTAAAGAAAACCTATTATTGACCCGATCTGTTACTAACCCAAAAATTAAACCCAATCTGTTACTAATCCGAATTAACACGACTTGTTATTGACCCGACCTAAATTCAACCCAAATTGTTCCTGACCCGATTTCAAATCACCTTAAATGCAATTTAGACCACCTTATTATTGTTGATCAAATTATTTTGCCTTGGGAGACCAAGTCGGTCGAGACCAGCAAAAGAAAGGATTATCATCCTCAAATTTAAGAGTTAAATTTAGTTTATATTTGTTGTATGGTTAAAGGAGATAATTATCTTCCTAAATTATAGACTATAGTTCCCTAGTATATTGCCATATATATTATATTTAAAGGAAATAATTAGCTTGATGAAAATGATAATTATCTATTTATAGTTTGTTGAAGCCGAATATGAACTGACCTGAAAATGACACGACCTGATTGTAACCTGCAAATAATTGACTTGAACATAACCCGACTTGAATCCGATAATGACCCGACTTGGAAATGACCCAACCTGATTATAACCCGCAAATTATTTACTTGAATCGAACCCGACTTGAACCCGAGAATTACCCGACTTGAAAATGACCCGACCTGATTATAATCCGCAAATTATTGACTTGAACCGGACCTGACTCAAACCCGAGAATGACCCGACCTGATTCTAACCTGTAAATTATTGACTTCAACCAAACCAGACTCAAACCAGAGAATTACCCTAACCCGTTTTAACCCGTGAAAACCTGAATTAAACCTGATCTATTGTTCACCCGACCCGAATGTAATCCGACCTGTTATTAACCCGACCTATATTCGACCCAACCCCAAAAAAAGTATGATCCGACGTGACCCGACTAAAGCATGACCCAACCCAAACCCGATCCGCATAAGTTATGAAATTAATCTGAATTGACCCAACCCGAGTTGACCCGACCCACTCTTATCCGACCCATTTACCCGAATTGACAGCTCTAAATACAAGTACAATACTCACTATTCATATCACCAATTTTGAGATTGAAAACTATGACAAAAAACCTTAGATTATACGTGTAATATATAAAACTATTTTTCACAATTGTCAACCAAACAACACTTGTGTTACTACTCCCTCCGTTTTTAAATACTTACTCCACTTTTCTTTTTCGGCCGTTTTTTAATACTTACTCTGTTTCCTTATTTGAAAATCTTTTACAATATTTAATTCATTTCTCTCACATAGTGGACCCAACATAAATTATATTTTATTAATTTAATATTTACCCTCCTCTAATTCTCTCCACTACTTTTGCTTTTTACAATTTTTTATTCTTTCACCTATCCCACTACCTCCATATTCTATTACTTTATCTTATTTCTCCTAAAACTCAGTGCATGGAGAAATAGGATAAGTATTTAAAAACAGAGGGAGTATTATATTAACCAAATCATACATTTTATTCATTCAGTTAAAAAAAATTATCACTAACTAAACAATAATTTCAAATTTTATATACCAAAAACCTTGATTACTGCGGTAGAATCATACTCATCACTCAAATTCTAATTCCAAAAGCTTATCACAATTAATAACTTCGTACATGGAACTGAAAGTGAATTCAAGGCTCACATCAAAAGTCTCTATCCCAAATTACCAATCACAATTCATTAAACTTAATCATTAAAGCAACCAAACTAATTTAATGCAACTGGCCCATAATTGGTTGTGTGAGCCCATACATTTAGAAGCCCTCAGCCCATAACCGCAACCTAGGATTTATTGAAGGTGACAACAATATATTTTGGATTTTACAACAAAAATTTAGGTTTTGTGAGTTCTTAAAATTAAACACGACAAGACAAGAAACAAGCTAAAATATTTATCACACATTCATACCCTGCCTCTTTAGGTTCGTTCTATTGGAGCCAGGGGTTATGCTTAGACTTGAGATTTATGTTATTTTGAGCATGATAAACTTTTATGACAATCTACTCAAAATTTTTTGACCTAGAGCATGGGTGTGACAAATTTTCCACCCTTGATAGTTGATACATAGACTTGCAATTAAGTGGGTTCAACTGTTCAAGCTAAGGGCCTATTTCGATTTCCTGAAAACAATTTAACTGAACTGATTGGGGTTGAACTGAACTACACTGAATAGAGCTGAAATGAGTTGTTTATGAGATAAGAAAATTAGGAACTGAACTGAACTGAAATTAAGCTGAACAGAACAGACTCTTACAGGCTTACACCGTATACCTTACAATGACAGTACCCCCCCCCCCCCCCCAAACCCATGCAGCAGCAACAAAAGTTTCTTTACCATAGAGCCGAATTGATACTCTTCTGGCAATAATAAAAGTTGTGTACTTTTCTTTTCTTACATATCACATTGCTATGATATGCTCCTTCATGCTTTAAAATACTGTAGTAATGGGGTAATTGCCCTACTTCTTTACCCAAAAAAAAAAAAAAAGAAAAAAAAAAAGCGGAATCTTCGGTGATAGCATAATTTTCTTACAAGGCTTCTAGGGAAAAAAGAAAGCAGCAGCAGATCTTTAACATCAGCGTGCTGACATCCACAAAAAAGCCTCAGTAAGGAGTAATTATGTTTCTTCCATCGACTTCGAGAGGAAGAGAAAGAGAACATACATTAATACAAGGTTAGACTTACATCTTAATTTACAGTGGAGGTTGAAGAGAAGGGGGAGAAACAGGTTACAACAGGAATTCGTAAACACGAATATGTACAATTCACATTACAACAGTCAACAAAAACACAACAAATGAGAAACTCTAGACACAGAAGATAAGCCTCAGACAGTCGGAACATGCATCAATAGCACAAACTATTCTTGCATATTTCCTTAATAAGATTATAAAAGCAGGTAAAATCTTAAGAAAGAAACCTAGTTAAGGATGAAACTCCTACCGAAAATAAATATTCTTCATAGGTCTCGATCACCATACCACAGAATATAAAGAGCTTATCCGCATAATTCCATATTTTGGTTGACAGCTTCTGGATGGTAATGCATAATCTCCTGCCACATTGATTCCCTGATCATTTCTTCGTCTAAATCTTCATCAATTTCGAGATCAATAGGGAATTGTGCAGGAGGGTTAGCTCGAGGGTCATACAAAGGAGACATGTACGGGTGTTGGAGAGCCTCAGTCACGCTAATTCTCTTTGTTGGATCAAAGACGAGCATCTTTTGTAGCAAGTCAATGGCTAAAGGATTGGCAGTTGGGTAAAGGCGAGACAAAGAAGCAGTAGGAGAATAGGGGAGCGATTTTATGAACCTTTTGGCCTTAGGATTGTCAATAAACTCAAGATCAGCATCTCTTTGGCTACCAAGGATGTTAACTATCAATTTTAGTTGGTTCAAACACTCGGTACCTGGGAACAATGGTTTACGACCAAGAAGTTCAGCAAAAATGCACCCAACAGACCACACATCAATAGAGGTTCCATACTTGTCACAGCACAACAGAAGTTCGGGAGCTCTGTACCAACGTGTCACCACATACTCGGTCATAAATTGACCCTTGCCACTACTTGTACGAGCCAATCCAAAGTCACAAATTTTTAGATCACAATTTGCATTTATAAGAAGGTTTCCAGGCTTCAAATCACGATGAAGGATGTTAGCCGAGTGGAGATACTTCAGACCTCTCAGCAACTGCATTCAAACATGTATGCTAAAGTTTGTCAAACAGCAAGCACATGTACTTACATCAATCTTAGCATTGAATGATATGACACAAACCGACTGATTTAGGAACAGATTCAATCAAAATTTATAAGTCCCATTTTATTTTTATTTTTATTGCAATTTCTTTATTTTATATAATTTTGTAGCTTTCTGTAAAATCACCCAAGAGAGCATATTGCTAAGGAATAGCATGATAGAAACTTCTCAGCAAATTAAAGCAAGATCTGGAAATCTGGAATCATGCTAGCAGACTTTACACACAAGCAATCAAGTTGGTAAAAACAAAGTAGGATGAACAGAATCCATATGAACCAATATATGAAGTACTTGCAAGAAAATATTGCAATATACATAGATGGACAAACTACTGTAAGCCTATCATAAGAGTTTCCGGAAAAATTGCAATGAATTGCTTTGAGCATGGGAATGTGAACTCAACAAGAACAAAGAGAGCAAGAAGATATAGTCATATCATCATTAAGCTGTCCAAAAAAGGAGTGAAGTTTCTACTTAGAAATTTATGGTAGTAGTAAATTTCATTGTCAAGCACTGATGTTTGGGAACATTTTCATATGAACATAAGAAAGGATGGCTCAATGTGAACATGGAAAAAGGGATACAGTGATTAAAATACAAGAAACTCTACAAACAAGTAAAAGCATGCTTGGTTTATTAAAAACTAAAGTTCAAAGACTTCAAACATAGATTAGTACATTTAGATTGAAGGAAAGAAAAAGAAATTTGCGGCTTTCATAAAGATAAGCAAAGGTCCAACATAAAGATTATTTATAAAGATTTTATTTAAACTAGATTTCTTGAAGATTACTGCTTCTCAACTTCAGAATGCTTTCCCATATAGACTTCACAATAGACAGCATTTTCTTTCTCAATTTCGTAATGATCATCATTCCTTTCTTTAATAAAAAGGAAAAGAAGGCTAATAAAGAGGATCAATTGGAAAACAGAACAAAACATAATACATAACAGGATATAACAAATCCAAATCTATAAGTAAAAATAAGCAATGAAACTTTTAAACTCGAGCATCTTGATAAAACAGAAAGCACCAATGAACTCAAGAGTTCAGACAAATATGCTACAAGACAACCACAGCCAAAAATCTAAATGATAATGCCAACAGACTCATGTTCTAATTATAGACAGTAAAATTCATTAAATCTTCCCATAGAAACACAGACATAGAACAATTGTTGAATGCTACAATAACCGAGAAGTGACACCATAAAATATACCTGAAACAAGAAGTACTGACAATGATCATTCGAGAGAGCCTGAGAGGACTTAATAATCTGATGAAGATCTGTGTCCATAAGTTCATAGACCAAATACACATCCTTGAAATTCTTTGGATGGGCTGGCAACATGACATCCTTTAAAGCAATCACATTATCATGCCTAAGGTGCCGAAGAAGTTTCAATTCGCGCAATGTCCTCAGTGCATCAACACGATTCTCAAAAGCGTTATGGATCTTCTTTATAGCAACTCTCTCATTCGTCTCTTTGTTTATGGACGAGCAAACAATTCCATATGCACCCCGACCAATGGGTTTAATGGGCACATACTTTGTATCAATCTCAAACAAAGCTTGCCACATTGAATAGTAATGCTTCCCTGGGCATCTAACACCATTTGGAGGCTCGACTTGTGTTGCCATTACCTTCAAAGTCCCAACATATAAAATCAAGTAAAATTAGAAAAATTCATCCTTCTTTTCTTGCAAAATTATCTTCATTAACAAATTAAGTATAATAGAATGGTAGATAAACGGCATTATTAAGCATAATCCACACTATTATCGTAGATTAACACTAGTTAATTAATCATAAACTTCATAATCCAAATTATTTTCATATTAACATAAGTTAGTTAAACATAAACATTACACTCCATTTTTTTTGTCATAGATTAACAACTAGTTAATTGAAGCATTATAATTATAATCTAATCTAAATTCATAGATTAAGACAAGTTAACTAGACATGAACATTACAATCCAAACTGTTTTCATGGATCAATACTAGATAACTAAACAGAAAATCATGGCCCACATAACATTGAAACACATCAATCACATCAAGTACAAAAAGAGCATGTGAATAACGTTTCCATTTCCAAAAAAAAAAAAAAAATCGAAGCAATGAAAATACATTAGCAAATTTTATGAACAACAAAAAAATTGTAATTAAATTTCAAAAATTGTAATTAAATCTTCATACTATTAAAAAGTTTCTAATATTTGAGCTTAACATAGTAGCGAAAAGATAAAACGATAAAAAAAAAAAAAAAAAATCATCATTAGGTGTTGTAGTTTATATAGTTTTTATTTATGATTGCAAACAATTTAAAGAAAAAAAAAATGAAAATTATTCATACCTTTGAATTAAAAACCCCAGAAAGAAAATTCAGTAAAATTGGCAGCAAATATAGATAGAAATTAGAATCAAAGCGTAGCTTTTATCATCAATCCCCAGAAAAATTGCATCCTCGAACTTACTCCAAATAGAAACATCTTCAAAATCCCACCTTTTTAATTCGACTTTTATTTTATCTTTATTCACCAAATTTCACTAAACCCACAAAAAAAATCAAACTTTATTCTTTAAACCCAGCTAAAAAATCGATCAAAAGTTTGGAAATTTAGCAAGAACAAAGAGCAAAAAATGTCATCAATTGAGAAAAAAGAAAATTGATGAACAGATCTGAAGCAGGGGAATTGATAATTTGGAGGGAAAATTGGAAATTACAAAGTTGGTAATGATGAAATTGAGGAGAGAGAAAAGATAGAAGATAGGGATTATTGGATCAGATCCTCGATTACAGAGATTATATTATTGCGTCACGATCAGTTGAACAGAGGAGAGAGAGATGATGGGAGAAGAAGGGGAGGTGTTGCAGGAACAAAGAAAGAATGGATAGGTGACAAAATAGATCCATTATATCTTTTTTTTTTTTTTTTTTTTTAAATCAGGATTTTTTTATTGTAACCTTTCTTCCCTAATTTTCTAAACTTAGCCTAGTTCTAATTTACTGGATTGAACTGTACATAGAAAATAAATTAGGAGTTGAACTGATTAGAGTATAACTAAATTGAACTGAACTGAAATGAAATTAAACTGAAGAGAACGCACCCTTAAAGATGGTAAAAAAAAATTAAAAATTTAGGAGAAATTTGATGTTTAAAGCTAAAAGAGTTTAAGAGAACAGACCTTTAGACAACTAATTAAACTTTCAAACTTAAATAACAATTTAGATCTCACACTCTTAGCATGTATTTGTTCAAAATATTGACACACTTTTAGGTTCATTAGTGTAACACTTGGACTTATTTAAGTTTAATTAACTACGATTAGACCTAATTAGCTTTAGAGTATTTTTTTTATTAAGGTGAAATAAAACCCATAACCCCACCCTTAACTTTTCATTCTATTTCCCATCAAAAACACAATGGAAAAAGTAAAAGAATCGGAATGAGTCCTTAAACATAGATTTAGTTAGCACCTCAAAATCAAAGATTATTTTTAGTAACTTAGCTTTTTACATGCTTGTCATTTGACTTATGATTTCAGCCAATTTAATTGTAAAAGTTTATGACATCAAACATCAAGTATAAATTTCATTTACGAAAATGCACTACAATTGAAATAATAAGAAATCTATTTTTGATATGTGTATTACCTAATGCAAATAAAGATTGATTTTCTAGTTGAAAAAGATAATCTAGATATTGGATTAAGAATAAAAAAATCGTATAAAATCAGATATAAAGAACATGATTAGGATTGTTTGTTGAGCTTCCACTCTAAGAACGACAAATATAGCATTGGGATTGATTGTCTAAACTTCAACGCAATTAAGTCAAACTTTGAAATTGCAAATCTTATGAGAAATTCCTTAAAATGGAAGGAAGTAAAGTTTTTTTTTTTTTTTTTTTTACAAAGTAAAGTTTTTTTTTTACAGTACAATAATAACTAAGTATTTATTTGGGAAAGAAAGGCTTTTGTGCTTTTAATCCGATACATCATACATGTGATTTATGCCAAGGGGATGTTGATGTTAGGTTCTTTTGTCGTAATTAATATCTCACTTTTTGAGGGACCTAACCAAGAATTTTAGAATATCCCCTTCATTTTGGGTCTACTATTTTATCTTTACTCGCCAAATATCTAACTATAAGTAATTTTTGTGGTCAATAATAATGTAATATTCATCCTAAACAATTAAGAACTTATTTAGAAATGCATGATAAAATCAAATAATTTTGCTTTATTTTATTTAAACTATCCATTTTTAGCTTACACGGGGTATATCAAATTTTTTATTTTTTTTTAGACAGGTGTGGAAAGGAGGGATCTCCTCCACCTTACCCCTGCTTCCTACAGTAAGAGGCTAGCATATGGGCTTTATTGACCATAATTCTATCTACTTTGATACAAACAACATAATCTCTCTTCCTAGCTTCGAGGAATATATCTTTGACAATATGTTTCAGCTCCTCTTCTGCATTCACTGGATTCTTCAAGGCCTTTACCAGTTGCAGTGAATCCGTTTTTATGACCAGATTCTTTATATCTGTGTGCGCAAGTTTTAAGGCTTCCAGTACTGCAATTCCCTCAGCCTGAGTTGGTGTAAGAGCAAATATTCTCTTACTCCCTTGAATGTGTTGTAGATTCGCATTTTCTGTTGTCCATGCTATGGCTGCTCTCCAGTTTTCCCCCTGTTTCCCTTTCCGCTCTTTCCATGCTGCATCCACACAGACTGACTCAAACGAGTAAGTTGTAGCATTTCCTGACTTCCATATAACCGGAAGTGCTGTTATCTTTGGATTTTGGTTTGAATCCTGACTCTTTTTCTTCCAGGACTGTATCTCCTCCCATTTCGCCGCGTGCAACTGTGCTAACTCCAAGATATTTTTAGGATTAACACTCACGCCTCTAAAGATGATATTATTTCTGTGCAACCAAATGGCCCAGAGGGTCGCCACGAAGTTATGCATTAACTTTGGGTTGCTCTCTAGCTGTGTCATACAATATTGAATGAAGTTAAATACCCAATCCCTGCAAGACAAAAACTGGGGTTTAGCTGAGTTAATCCCAAGAGGTGAGGACGCCCACACCCTTTGAGAAATTTCGCAAAACCGAAACAAGTGGTTCATATCTTCTGGTGCTTTGTTACAAAGATTACATAGACTACTTAAACATATGCCTCTTTTCCCCAAATTCTCCCTTGTAGGGATGATATTATGAGAGATCTTCCAGATAAACATCTTGACTTTTGGTGGCAGGGACACTTTCCACCACATTTTCCAGAATGATTTGGATGTTGGTCTCCATATGGTCTCTTTCTTTTGGTTTGCTGCCATCCAATACCCCGATTTAAAACTGAATTCCCTTGTTTTCTTTGGGATCCATGTGAACTCATCCTCGCATTCTTGTATTGGGATGTGCACTGAAAGAATGTCACGAGCTATATTTTCCTCAAATGTGCTCCAGATTAAGTTGGCATTCCATCTCCTGTCTGAAGTCATAAGGTCACTTACCTTCTCCATTTGTGATCCTTCTAGCTGGTTACTTACCTGTATTTTATTCTTCCTTACCCATATATCATGCCTTATACTCGTGTCCTGTCCATTCCCAATTCTTCTCCCAATCCCTTCTTTCATGGTCATAGCAGCTCTTATTAGACTCTTTCCTGCCTAGGATCCCTTTCTGCATCGCTTGCCCTTGTAACCCAACTTTATTGGATCCCCCCCATACTTAGCTTTTAAAAACTCTGCTTGCTAGAAGTCCTGGATTCTTGTATAGTCTCCATCCCTGTCTCATGAGCATACTAGTATTGATGTGCTCCAAGCTTTTTAGACCAAGACCTCCATCATTCTTATGCAGTTGAAGAACGTCCTGTCTCCTCCAGCAAATTGCCCTTTTTCGTACTTCGTGCTCCACCAGAATCAAATGAGGGTGCTATTTGCTTTTTTAACTACAACCTTGGGCACCAGTACAGAGACAAGATATGTTGAGCCATTGCCACCAAAATTCCATTAATCAGAACTAGCTTACCTTCTTGGTTCAACATTGAGAACTTCCACGAGGAGATCTTTTGTTGGATTTTATCTACAATATTACTAAACTTTGTGCTTGATCTCCCATCCACATCCATGGGACAACCCAGGTATTTTCCTAGTTTTTATATAACTCTGAACCTTTAGCGATTGTCTTAGGATCCTGATAAACCTCACAGGGGTGTTTGGGCTAAAAACGATAGAAGACTTCAGTGCATTCACCACTTCCCCTGAAATGAGGCAGAATTCATCCAGTATTCTTTTAATTGCTCTGCATGAAGAAGGCGTTGCCTTGAAACAGAGAAGGGCGTCATCTGCAAAAAACAGATGATTTATTTCAGGTGCTCTTTGTGCTACCTTGATTCCTCGAATAACCCCTTCATTTTGGAGTCGTATCAGTTTCCTCGATAGTACTTCCATAACCAAAATGAATATATAAGGAGATAGGGGATCTCCCTGTCTTAGGCCAGCTTCAGGCTTGAAAAAATATGATGCTTCTCCATTGACCAGAACCGCATAAGAAACTGTTTGGATGCAGCTTCCAATCCACTTTCTCCAATCATCGGGAAACTCCATTTTCTCTAATATGCGATCCACCAGGTCCCAGTAGACTCGATCATATGCCTTGCTTAAATCTATCTTAAGCATGGCCTCAAAGAATCCTCCTTTCCTTCTTGCTTTTACCTTGCTTAGTAACTCATGTGCCATATAGCAGTTTTTCATCATAATCCTACCCGGTACAAACGCGTTATGGAATTCCCCAACTATTTCCGGGAGAATATATTTGAGTCTGTTCACCAAACATTTCGAAATGATCTTGTGCATGGAGTTGCACAGGCTGATTGGTCGAAAGTCATCTATCTTCGACGGTTGCTTTATCTTCGGGATAAGAGTGATGAACGTCTTGTTGCATTCCTTTAACAAATTTCCGGTTCTGAAAAAATGCTGAACTTCTTTGACTATATCTGACCTGATAATGTTCCAATTTTCTTGAAAGAACATTGGTGGAGCCCCATCTGGACCTGGTGATTTAAGAGGTTTTGGAGCGAAAACAGCCTCTGTGATCTCTCCTTCCGTGAATGGCTTTGAAATTCAGGCCTTACTAGCCTGATTTAGTGCTGGGATATCTCTCAACCATTCCTCAATTAAGCCCACACGCTGTTGGGCTTGATCTGCCGAGATTGGGAGCCCTTTGTATAGGTCCTGGAAATGGGCTTTGAACTGTGCTTTAATTTCGTCTGTGCTAGTAATCTAGGCCCCACTGGAATTTTGCACAACTCTTATTTCCATTCTTACTGTCCTTTGCTTAACACTCTTGAAGAAAAAGGCTGTAGACTGATTCCCATATTCATCCCATTTCGATTTTGCTCTCTGTCTCCAATACCACCACTTTTTGGTGGCCTCCTCCTCAAGGTGTTTCCTAGTTGTTATTTCTGATGGTGAGGAGAGAAGGTCACGATCCTCATGATTTTGGTGCGTTTCAAACTGCTCCTTAATAACCTGCCAATTCCAACTATTGTGTCTATGCTTGACGTCCAAACACCACTGTTTTAAGCCCTGTCTACATTTAGAGACTTTCTTTTGTATCTTATACAATGGAGATCCATGGGTGTCCTCCTTCCAAATATTTTCCACCATCTCCTTCACTTCATCCTTCTTTAAGCACCAAGCTTCCATTTTATACGCCGTGCACTTTGATCCTCTTGTCTTGTGGAGCTGGAGGACAACTGGGGCATGATCAGAGAACATAATTGGTAAATTCCATACCAAAGCGTCAGGAAACATGGATTTCCAACCATCGTTTGCATAGGCTCTGTCTAATTGTTCGTAAATTGGATCATCCACTCTATTATTGCAACATGTAAATTTTAGTCCCGTGCATGGGATTTTAATTAGCTTGTTTTCTATAGTCCAATTTACGAAATCGCTCCGCCCCGGGATAATTCTACTGCCCCCTATTTTTTGCTCTAGGAACTCTACTTGATTGAAGTCCCCTATTAGCACAATGTTACCATTATAGGTTGTCATGAGATCATGCAATTTGTTCCACACACTAGTACGATCAGCCACATACGGACTACCGTAAACACACGCAATGTAAAAGTTAAAGCCTCCTACTAGTAATATATTACACAAAAGTACGTGGGGATGAGTTTCTATCACCCTCACTACCACCCTATCTGACCAACAAAGGAACATTCCTCCTTTGCTAGCATCTGCATCGCAGCCCGTACTACCATTAAAACCCCATCTACTGAAAATTGGAGTTAGAGAGTCATAATTACATTTAGTTTCACACAAGAAAATAAGATCTACATTAAACCTTGCCGCAACTAGTTTAGCTACTGGGAAAATTGGGGAGTTTTTGTCATTCGCTCCCCTGCAGTTCCAGCTGAGGATGCTCATTTTCCCTCCTGAGGCTGTTGGCCAGCCGCGCCATCATCACAGACCTTCCTTGTTCTTCCCTGATCTTCACCCTTGCTAGTCACCTCCTCATCCGAGCTGACTGTATCTTCTTTGACTGATAACCTCAGAACTTGAATCCTCGTGGCTGAATTTCGTCCTTCCTCTAGCTCCATGAACTTCTCCCAGAGATCATCTTCCTTGCTTAGCCCATATCTCACCTTATCACACATCCTTTCGACCTTGTCCAGGCTAATGCTGTTTCCTTTTGCTCTTTCCAGTCCTTCCAAATTCAGAGCTCTATTCACCCCCACATCCTCCGAGTTCAGCACCACCTTCAGATCACTCTCCACGTTGGAGCTCCAGACCTTTTTCCTTGGACCTTCCTCTGTAAATCTCCTCCCCTTTATCTTTTTAAATAACACATTTTTCTCATCATGAGAGTAGAACTCCAACTCAAATTCTGACGACTCCTCACTCGACTGAATGTCCAGTTTACTCAAGTTGAGCAAGGGGTTCATGGAATCTGAGGAAATTGAAGAGGGCGCAGTATTGAAGGATTCTATGGATGCAGGGGAGTTGGGCGGGGTATCCTTCAAGGTGGAAGGAGAACCAGGACTGTCACAAGTGTATAAGGCCGAACTTCCCTCAGGGCCTTTTAACTTTGGCCATCCATGAGGTGGATTTCCCTGGGGGAGGTTGACAGAAGGAGTGGTTTGGTTCTTTGGCGAGCTTGCCATCAGAGATTGGAGGGAAACATAGGAGTGAGTAGCTCGGTACTCATGGTAGGTTTTTAGCTCTTGTTCATTCATCATTTCCTTTGGGAAAAAGAATTCTATTTGCCTAATAATAGGGTCAACAAGAATGCTTTTTGGTCTGAATGGATCCAATAATGGGTTGAGAGTATAAACTCTATCTGTGGGACAGAGGAGTACTTTATACTCACCCTTTTTTTCCATTTTTAAAGTCGACATGTGGGAGAAGGGAAAGGTAGTTGGTGGTTGGGCTATAAAAGGTAAGTGAGAGTGATAGTTCCAGGTAGGACTAACTGAATAAAACGGAGTGATACCCTTAAATAACAGAGAATAAACGAATAAATCAGGTAAGCTAAGCACTGAGTCACATTCATTGCCAGTGGTTGGATTAACTAAATGGAACAATATATCAGGAGGTAAATACGGGGGGATTACCGTAGCTTTATTTACGGGGGTATATCATTTTGTAGCTTTATTTACAACTTAAAACTTGGTGCAATTACCGTAGCGGGTTAATTATATTTCTATATGGGGGGGGGGGGGGGCAGAACTTGTACACATCTTTTTACACATTGGCGGTGCAAAGTGAGAAAGATTGCAATTAAGGGTCTGTTCACATTTACTGAACTGAGCTGAACTGAACTGATTGGAGCTGAACTGAACTGAACTGAACTGATTGGAGCTGAACTGAACTGAACTGAAATGAAATGAGCTGAAATGAATATTTTATGAGAGAGGAAAATTAAGAGCTGAACTGAACTGAACTGATTGGAGCTGAACTGAACTGAACTGATTGGAGCTGAACTGAACTGAACTGAGCTGAACTGAACTGAAATTAAGTAAATGTGAACAGACCCTAATTTAGAACAAAAGAATATGATAAGTGTGGAGATAATCTTTAAACAAAGGAAGTATTGTGCACGTTTGGGATTTTTTTTTTCAAATAAAAGCCATGTTCTTTTCACATTATTCAAATATATCAAGTAGAAATAAGGAAATTTTGTATTTTACTACCTTTAAAATGCTTACTTTTGAAAATAACTACCTGAACAATTTTTTTTTTTATTTAACTACCACTCAAACTCAATTTCTTTTTATTTTGCTACCAACTTTAGTATTCTGTAACTGTAGACGTTTGTGGGGCCCTGAACAAAGCCTATATCTGTCAAGTTGCTTGCTGTAGAGGAACTCTTCTCCTTTTAAAAAAAAAAAAAAAAAAATCAACTACTTGTTCTACAAAATCACGAACTACATCCAATTAATTCCCAATTGAAAATCAAAAAATCTGAAAATTGAAATCCTTTAAATCAAACCTTAAAATCGTCATACGCAGGTAATTGGAAGGCGAAGTACTGAAATTTGAAGGTAATTGAAGCACGAATCAGGTTTGATTTCTGCATTTTAACAATTTTATATTTTTTCCCAATTGTGCGTGAATGCTAGAGTAAGGGTTCTGCAATCCATTAATTAGGGCAATTGACTTGTTTTACGACTTTAAATGGTTAATTAACATTATAATTGAGTGAAATAGCAGTAAACTTGTTGGATAAAAAAATCTATGGTTCATAAGTAAATTGAATTGGGGTTTTTTTTATCGTAAACTAAATTGAACATACCATGGTTTGTGTATGCTAATTACAACATAATTGAGTCAACATCTAAGCTAATTGCTATGAATTGCAGCGTAATATGGCTTTCACTAGGCCTTCGAGTGGGTGGATGAAGAAGATGAGAGTGTATGGCAGAAGGATATTAACAAACCAACTTCTTTTGGACAAGAAACTAATGAAGGGTGAAATAAGCTCATTGCAGAGAGAAGTGGAGGACCTTATTGGCAAAAGAAGGTGTCTCTTGAATGAAAATGATAATCTGAAACTCAAATGCAAAGCTTGAGTTCTGACAGGAAGAAAAACAAGACTGCAGGTCAACAAATTCATCCTGTTGGAGTGAAATTCATAGTTATCATATTTGATTTGGTTTTTTTTTTTTTTTTTTTTTTTTTTTTTTTTTTTTTTTTTTTGAAATAAGCTCTTAGGGATTTTTGTAATCCATAACAAAGTTTAGGCTAGTAGTTAACATTAGCTTTATGATGATGTTATCTTTCAGTTGCAATTGTAAGACTTTGATTAATGAATGAATGAAATTTCAAGCATATGATTAATATTTGGTTGTCTTCAACATATATCAGCAATATGTGTGCAAAAACATGTTCATTATCATCACCAAAATGTTATACGGCCTATTACACATTATTAGCTGCAATGTTTCAAAAGATGCCCTTATTTTAACTTGTGTAGAGAATACAAGTTCACAAAAGACAAGTTCACAAAAGACTATCAATGCAAATACATGTTGCCTATTTTTTCTTGCTCTTTGGTTTTGTTTGCTTTTTAGTAGAAACTGATGTTGTAGTTGATGAAGCTTGACTGCAGTTATGACCTTGGACAACTTGTTGGCTTTTCTCTTGAGGAAACTTCCTATTTGCAATGCTTGATGGCCCTGCACCCTCAGCTTGCTGCTAAAAAAAAAAAAAAGTTCATCAATTACGTCAAAAAGCAATCAAAGGCAAAGAGTCTAATTTAACACTTAGATAAGTTCTTACCACTCTAATAGCTCTCTTTTCTTTCTTCCTCTTCTGATCATTCACCCAAGCAGTTTGCAATGGAGGCCTGCCACCCTTATTGGGTTCCGAAGGGGCAATTGGAGGCGGTGGTGGTGCAATGACGATAGTTGCATTGCCACATGTCTTAGCATAATGGCCATATTGACCACAGTTCTTGCATTGCTTTTGCTTTTTTGGCTTCTGTTGTTTTGGCATTTTAGGAAGCTTGCCAGTTGGTCCGGATGAACCCTCCCCCTTTTCTAACTTCCTTTTCTTTGATTTGGGCCTACCAGGCATAACCCTTATTGCTGGTGGGTGAGGTTCCCTTAGTTAAACCTTACCCTAGTACTTAGGACCAGGCATAGGCTCAATTGCATCTTCATAAGCCAGCATGTATGTGTCCCTGCTGTAAGCATGATCCACAAAATCTTCTGGGTCTACTCTCTTGTCCATCATGCATGCAAAAGCATGCACACAAGGAATCTCAGTCAACTATCAGTGATAGCAAGTACATGACCTTTGCCCTAAATCAACTAAAACATGATCACCATTAAGCTCCACCTCATATGTATCTCCCCTAGAAACCTGAACAATACAGTATCTTGCAGCTTTCTCTATGCCCTGAAAAACCTTGTTCACATATGGCATAAATTTTCCATCCATTTTCAAAACAGCTTCCCATTTGTCATTGTTTCTTTTCATCATATACCTTCTCATCCACTCCATTTGAGTGAGGATGGGCTTGTCCCTTGCATCCTTGATTACAGCGTTAAATGTTTCACAAATGTTATTCAAAAGCATATTAGATTTGCAATTTGTTGAGAAAGCGTGTCTTGACCAATGTTGTGTAGGAATATCATCCAAGTACTCAAATGCATCTTCAGACAAGAATTTTATTGATTCCATAGCCACTTCAAAGTCAAACTAACCAATTTGACAACAACATAAAAATCAACAACAATACATGATAATCTTGAAAGCCTCTTACAATCATGATTAAAAAAAAAAAAAGCAACAAGCATTCAAATTTTTTTGAAGCATACTTACCAAAGTTGTGGCTCTAGCTGCATTCCAAAACAATTCTTTGAATGTAGAACCACTAAATTGCAGCTTGAAGTTGGCCCATATGTGCCTAACACAAAATCTCTTCTCTGCCTTGGGAACCACCAGTTCAAATGCTTCCAACAATCCCTAACATACAAACTCCATTATTGTTATATGCAATTACATACCAATTACATGTGAAAGATGAAAAAAAGTTAAGAGAACGAGAATGAGAATATACCTTTTGTCTATCTGACATAAAAGTCCATCCGGCTCCATCAAATCCATTCAAGTCTTTCATAATCAATTCCAAGAACCATACCCAACTGTCCTTATTCTCCACCTCAACTGTTGCCCAAGCAAAAGGAAAGATATTGTTATTGCCATCTTTCCCTACATCAACCATAATCTGACCAGAATAAGACCCCTTCAAGTGACATCCATCAACCCCAATGATGGGTCTGCAACCTTTCACAAATCCATCTCTGAGAGGGGCAAGGCAAACATATAGTCTCATAAAAAGAGGGGGCTCTGGTTGCTCTACACCATCAACCACAACACTACACCCACTACCCCGGTTATACTTAATAATAGCCTTGGCATAGTCCCAAACTCTAGCATATTGCTCAGCCGCTGAGCCATAGATCATGAACTTAGCCCTAGCCCTGGCCAACCAAGCTTTGGAATAACCTATGCTTATCCCTAGGTCATTCAACACCCTATATCTAAAGCTCTTAATTCTCCAAGTAGGGTTGCTTCTCCATTCCTCTAAATACATTTGTGCTAGGTACTCTGCTGTGACTTTTGAATTCATCCTTGATCTAACACACCTATGTTTAAGCCTCAATGTTTTGATTTGCCAAGTAGAACTATTAAACAACCTTCTAGCATTCACTTTATAATCACACCTCTTTACACTATCAAGACACGTACAAAGTGGCAAGTTACTTCTCTTTGAATTCCACTCACAAGCACACCTTCTCTTACAAAAACTAGTAATCCTCTCAGCACCATTGTGAAAATAATAGTATTCATACCTATTTTCTATGGCACGAGTTCTCAAAGCTCTCCTAAGGACATTGCTGCTCGTGAATTTAAGCTTGTTCACTAACACTATTTCCTGTTTGAAATTAGTTTCCTCTTTGAACCATGGTCTGCTATCCTCCTCTTCATCTGATCCATGCAAGCTTCTTAGGTCATCTGAGTCACCATCAACCTCTTCTTGTATCTTCTGCTCTTCACATCCAACGTCTTTGATCAACTGTGACAGTCTAACAGCCTTAATAGCAGCAACCTCTTCACTTTCATCACCCTTACCCTGGTAATACTCCACATCCAAGCTTCTGTTCACTTCATCTACAAGTAATGGACCAGTATCATATATTTCTTCATCACTCAAATGCCCTTCTTCCTCTCCAATTTCCCAATCTATCTCCAAGTCTGTGTATTCTGATGAGGAAGACCCTGATTCTGAATCAACATCACTAAAAAGCTTTCTCCTAGCCTTTCTCTTACCCTTCCCTTTTTGTTTACCACCGGATCTATCCACATGTTCAGGTTGCACTTCATTACACCTTGGGCTCCTTCTGAGTAAAGGTTGGTTTTTTGGTTTTTTTTTGTGGTTGGTTTGCAGTTTGGATAGTAATCTGTTCTTGTGTTTGGGTTATGGGTTCATTAGTCAACCGCACTGTGCAGAATAACTCAAGATGCCCATCATCATGGACTGCCTCCAAAAACCCTCTCACTACTTCCTCATTAACTATCTCTCTTCTGCCAGAGGTCCAAGTCTTGCCTATTTCCTTATACCAAATGTTAAACATATGTGGCACAGGGTTGTCGGCATATACAAACCCTTCAATACATGAGTGTCTAAGATACTCTACTGTAATGTCCGATAGTCTTGCATTCCTTTTCCAATAAACCCAACCACCTTCATAAACCCAAATTGTTTTACCCTTGTGGTTTTTTTTAACAAATCCTCCATGTATTCTAAGCCTAATGTCACGACAAGCAACACCACTAGCCATCTAAATAAGTTATAATTATTTTTTAAACATCAAATATAAAAGAAAAGTAGTAAAAATAATTTTTCATAACCAAAAAAATTTCAGTTCAGCAAATACAAGGGGAAGAGAATAAAGTCCTATACACGGTAACACGGATAACATAACTCTCCAAGTACTAGTTGTTGGCTTGTTGCCCTTGTTAAAACTATGCTTAGTATCAATATACTTTGTTCAGTACACATTCACACATTGAAATGTTTGACCATAAGTTAATTAATGCATTATTTTGTTTCCATGCCTCTTTTTTTTTTTTTTTAATTTTTTATTTTTGATTTTTGAAAAATGACCCTAAATATCTTTACTTTTATATTCGTAAAAATTGTAACAATTAAATATTAGTAGTCTACTCATTAAAATGAATCAAATGATAAGAGCCGACATGACTGTGATATATTTTACATATTGAGAGTAATTAAATTATTTTCTCACCTTATAAATAATGCCAAAAATTCAACTGAAAAGAACTTTTAGAATTAAACATAGATCATGTAGTAATTATTAAAATTAGGCTTTGTTAATTAGCTGATTAGTTGTTACAAACTAGCAGAACAAAAAGCAATAAAAAAGGCAATTTTCATATTTACTACCAGCCAAAGCAGGGTATTTCATATTTGCTACCCCTTTAAAATTTTATTTTATGTTACTACCACTGAAACTGACTAACTGTGGAAATACAACCACCTGTGTTAGGCCGTTACTGTTTCTGTCAAGTGGGGTCCACTCCAACGGATACTTCTTAATTGCTCCCATTTAAATACGATTGTTCATCCTTTGACTTCATCAAATCTTTCTTCCATCAATTGGAGGAAATTAAATCAGCAATTGAAACAAAAAATCAAGCAAACACACAAGAGCGAATTCATTGACTTTGGGCAATTGGTGTTTCTGGGTGGAGTTGCTGAGAATTGCGAAGCACGAAAAGATTAGTTGTTTGGTTTATTCGAGCAATTTAGGCGAGTTTTCTTCAATGATTTGGTTAATTAGTAGAGTTAGTAGTAAATAGTAATGTTTTATTGGGTTTAATTGATTTGAGGAGGCTATAATTTGAACTAATTTTGTGGAAAAGAAATTAGGGTTCTTCAATGTAAGGTAATTTGGGGTTTTTTTTGTTTGGTTTGAAAACCATGAAATTGAAATTGTTGGTGGGCAATTAAAGTATGTAATGTGGTAATGAATCATTAATTATGTGTTTTTGCAGTGAATTGTCTTTGGTTAGGTGTTCACCCTTAAAATACAAGAAGTGTGATTGTGGTGTACCCATGGCAAAGCTAACCTCATGGACTAGAGAGAATCCAGGCAGGAAGTTTCTGAGTTGCAAGTTCTATGATCCCAATACTGAAACAAGGGGCTGCAAGAGTTTTTTGTGGTTGGATGAAGAAGATGGGATTGATTGGCAAAGGGATGTGATCAACCAATTGATCCTTGACAAAAATCTCATAAAGGGTGAGATAAGCTCACTGAAAACAGAAGTGGATGATCTTACTGGACAGAGGAGGTGCCTCCTAAGTGAGATTGACAGCCTGAAGGTGAAGTGTAGAGCTCTTAAGGGTGACAGGAAGAGGTACTCTGAAGAAGGGCAGCAGAACAGGAACTGCTCTGGATTTGTAGCTTTAGGTGTTGTATTTTGCACTGTTTTCTTGATGCTAGGGCTGTTAGTTGTGGTGAAGAAGGTTAGTGTAGGGTAATTGTAGTAGTGAAGAAAGCTTAACTTTAGTGTGTCCTTGTTGTTATGATCTTGATCCAGTTATCAAGTGTAATTGTAGTAGTTTAGTCTGCTCTAAAATAGTGGACATTATGACTGTGTAAACTCTCCACTTGTAAAGTAGTGGACATTATCAATGGAAAAAAAAAATTTAATTTTTCGAATAAACAAGTTATTAACCATTGCAAAGTGATGTGCTGAAATAACAGTTCCAAAAGGATGCAAATTACAGGCTCAAATTTGTTACAGAACCATAAGTCACAAACATTGTTCATAATTCAAGAACTTAAAAAAAAAAAAAAATTCCTACAGTTTACAGAAGCCACATAAACAGTAATTTCAGAGTGCTAAGTTCTTTCCCTTAACCTTTGACCTTGTTGTGGTGGTTGAAGCTTGGGTGTTTTGGCTGCAACTGAATGGTTGTGAGGTTTGATCTTGCTGGGACTGCAAGACCTCCTTCTGCTGCCTTTTCTGCTTCTGCTGCATCTGCTGCAGCTGCTGTTGTTTCTGTTGCTCTTGTGGAGATGTCTTGTTTCCAATACTGTTTGGCCCCGCAATAGCTCCACTCTGTAAAAAGTGACATCACACAACAAACTGAGTCCGTTGCAAGAAATAAACTGCAACATTGGTATTTAAAAAAAAAAAAAATTAAAATTCAATTACAAGCTGACACTTTTCTTACATTTGCAGCAGCCCTCTCAGCTTTCTTTCTCCTTTGTTCATTCAGCCAAGGTGTGTTGAGGATAGGCTTGGAAGAAAGGACAGACTTAGAGGACAGGACAGGCTCAGTGACTATTGGGGCTTCACTTTTAGGTGCAGATTTACAACTCTTGGCATAATGACCAAGTGTTCCACAGTTTCTGCACCTTTTTTGGAATTTAGGGCCCTTCTGTTGTGGCTTGTTGCTTCCTGATGTCCCTTCCCCCTTCTCTAGCTTTCTTTTCTTGGATTTAGGCCTCCCATGCATCACTCTCACTGCTGGTGGAAGTGGTTGTCTCAAATCAATCTTCTCCCAATGCTTGGGGCCTGGCATAGGCTAGATGGCATCTTGATATGCAAGAATGTAGGTTGCCCTACTGTAGTAAGCATCCACATACTCATCTGGGTCCACCCTTTTGTCAAGTATGCAAGCATAAGCATGCACACAAGGTATGCCAGTCAACTGCCAGTGATAACAGGAGCATGCCTTCATCTTTAAGTCAACAACCACCTTATCCCCATTCAATTCTACTTCATAACTATCCCCTCTAGACAACTGCACAATGCAATATCTTGCAGCCTTTTCAATCCTTCCAAAAACCTTACTCACATAAGGCATGTTCTTTCCTTCCATTTTTTGAACTGCCTCCCACTTCTCACAGTTCCTCTTCATCATGTAACATCTCAACCACTCCATCTGAGTGAGAATGGGCTTGTCTCTTGCATCTTTTATAACAACATTAAAAGTTTCACAGAGATTGTTTAGCAACATGTTGGACTTACACCAATCAGAAAAGGCATGCCTTGACCAGTGTGATGGTGAGATATTTGCTAAATACTCAAATGCTTCTTCTGATAAAAATTTAATAGACTCCATTGCAACCTCAAAGTCAAACTATATGACAAAACCAATAAACTATGATAAGACACTTACTAAAACAACACAAAGCATATGCAAACTTTTTTATCACAAAGACAGAGCACACATGACATAGCATAATTGTAAGAGAAATTGCCTTACCAAAGTGGTTGCCCTTGCTGCATTCCAAAATAACTCTTTGAAAGTAGATCCAGTAAATTGGAGCTTAAAATTAGCCCAAATATGCCTGACACAAAATCTCTTCTCAGCATTTGGGACTAATTCATCTAAGGCTTCTAGCAGACCCTAAAGATAAAATTAAAATAGAAACACCTCAAGTGTTAGACATACAAAATTGATAAAAATACAAAGTAAAACAGATTAAGTTGAGTGAGAGAAACTCATACCTTTTGTCTATCACTCAAGGTAAACCCCAATCCTTCATTGCAATCACCAACATCCTTCTGCAAACACTGAATGAACCAGCACCAAGTGTCCTTATTCTCCACCTCCACTGTTGCCCATGCAAAGGGGAAAATCTGATTATTCCCATCCTTGCCAACAACCACAAGTATTTGACCAGGATAGGCCCCTTTCAAGTGACAGCCATCAAGGCCAATGAGAGGCCTACAACCTTTGTTAAAACCTTTCTTTAATGCTGCCAAACAGATATACATCCTCATGAATAGAGGAGGTTCTGGTCTGTCTGCTCTCTCAACCACCACATACACCCCACTTTCAGGATTATACCCAGCCTTGCCATAATCCCAAACCCTTTCATATTGCTCTGCTGCAGAGCCATAGATCATGAACTTTGCTCTGGCTCTCTATAGCATGAGTTCTAAGTGCTCTCCTTAGCACCTCACTATTGCTAAATTTCTGCCTATCTAAGAGCACAACTGGCTTCTTGAAGTCAGTGTCTTCTCTGAACCATGGGCTTGTGTCTTCTTCTTCATCTGACCCATGAAGACTCCTAAGTTCATCCGAGTCACTTCCTTCAACCTGTAGCTGAAGATCTGTACACCCAATGTCCTTTCCTAGTTGCTTTACTTTTTGTTCTGTGTACTCAACAAATTTGCTGGAACTTTGACCAGCTGTCACAACCTCTAAACTCTTCTCCACTACCCTACTAGACCCCTTTTTGTCTGAATATGCCACTGTTCCTCTTCATCATCAGTGACTTCCAAATCTTCCTCACCTGCCTTCCAGTCAAGATCCAAGTCACTCACATCTGTAGAAGATGATCCAGTTCTGATCCAGAATCTTCATCTTTGAATAGTCTCTTTGTACACTTTCTCAGAGACTTGCTCCTGTCTTTCACCCCTCCCTATTCATTTTGCTCAACAGCTACACCCTGTCCCTTCTCTTTAACACCACTCACACTCTCTTCCTTCTCCCTGGTAGCAGTCTCACCCTCCCCCCTTTACAGAATCTTTGTTAAACCTAGGGCTTCTCCTACACACAGACTGAATGGGTTTCCTAGCCTTTAATTTTTTTCTAGGTTGAGAAGCTGAAGGTGGCTTTATGTCAGCTGAAAGTGGATTAAATTTAGCTGTAGGTGGCTTTGACTCAGTTGTAGGTGGATTAATTTCAGTTGTAGGTGGCTTACTCTCAACAGGTTTAGCATTCCTTGGGCTCCTCCTACTCACATGGGCTTTGTTTGGTTTTGGGGTCTTTGTTGCTACAGGGTTAGATTCTAAATTAGAAAGCTGATTTGTTTCAGATGGTATGGATTGAGAAGGGTGTGAATTGGGTTGCTGTGATCCAGATCCAGTAGCATTTAAACTTGGGCCAGTTGGATTAGAATGGGGTGGGTGTGATCCAGATGCAGAAGGGTTGGATGTGGGTGGGTTATCTAAAATAACCTCAGGAGGGTGATACCTATCCCACTCTTCTATCCCCACAGTTTGAAACAGCTCCACATGTCCTTCACTATGTTTGGACTCTAAGAAGCCCCTAACATCATCATCATTGTCAATCCTCCTCTTCCCAGTTGCCCAAGTCTTTCCCCTCTCCTTATACCACAAACTATAAATCTTTGGAGCCTCACTAAACCCTAAAGCTATTAACCCTTCATTACACAGAAACCTTAAGTACATCACACTCCTTACATATGACACTGGAACAGCATACTTCCAATGAACAAAACCACCTTCATAAACCAAATACTTTTTCCCCCTACGCTCCTTCTCCACAAACCCTCCAAATAGCCTAAGCTTAAAGTCAATAGTATCATTCTCACCATCCATATTTTTCTCTACAATTAAATCAAGTAAACCATACAAAAATCAATTTTAAATTCAACCATAACAGAGCACAAACTGACAATGTAAAACAAATACAGCATAAACAATGATTGTATACCCAAACATGTTTAATTAATTGCACAATTACTGATTATTTTAAGTTAGCGCAACAATTTAGGGTTTAATAAAACAACAATGTTGTCTAAATTGCCCACAATAACAGTATTTAATTGCTAATTCACCACCATTGATGCTTTGTTGGTCCACTACAAGTACGAAAAGGAGCTCTTACCTGTCAATTGATGTCAGAAGATTCTTCAAGCTTCCACTTCAGCAAACAAGATGACGTTGCTTCCAGTTGGACCTCTTCCTTCAATCCAGTTCTTCCACGCACACAGAACCCTAGATCTGAAGATAAGTTAGAGAGAGAATCAAGTTGACCAAGTGAAAGAGAGAGAAAGAAATAATCGAAAATAAAAAAGGGGGAAAAAAAACTTCACCTTGGTCAATTATGGAGGTTGAGAAAAATTAATGGAAGAAGAGAGAGAATGAGAACAGAGTTACGGGGAGAGAGAAAGAGTTAGATGGAGGTAGTTAATTGGGTGGGCTCCACTAACGATTCTTTACCATAATCCGTTTAGTGGCAGTTATTTCGACAGTTAGTCAGTTTCAGTGGTAGTAACATAAAATAAAATTTTAAAGGGGTAGCAAATATGAAATACCCTGCTTTGGCTGGTAGTAAATATGAAAATCCCCATAAAAAAAGCTTGTAATTTGCATACTTTGGGCCTCTTGATTGTTGGTGGAGACCATCACACAATAATGGAAGTGCAACATAAAATCAAAATTACCTACTTGTATATGCTACATTGTCCTCTTACATGGCTTACAATTATTGGTACTCCGTAGTATTTAAGTAGTTAATATCATTCTTTATGTAAAAACCCTTCAAAAATTCACAACTTTACTTATAATTTCATTGGAGAAGACATTTTGTGTACTAATGTAATGTGCTTTAGCATGGTTATTAAAGGTTGTACTTGAATACTATAGTACATTACTACCTAATCAGCAAAGACAGTCGGTAGACTAAAACTAAATAGACCATTACATTATTATAATTCAATTCATATTTCCTACTGTTGTTATCAATTAGGAAACTGGAATGTTCTGAAATAAATTAACACACCCATGTACATATTTTGCAAATCTTAACTCACACAAAATTCCAATTTGATCACTGTCTAAACAGCTGAACAACACACAATTAAGCAAACAAGCTAGTGTTTGGGTCGAATAATGGCAGCTTTGATGATGAGCCCGGACTTCCAGTGACCGCCATGCTCAAAGATATCGAAACACACCTCTTCAGATTCATCAGCTTTTGCTTGAAAAGTGCCCAAATTCAGCTCAAACCATTCTCCTTTTGGTTTCATTAACAAGCTGACTTGCCTTACCTTAACTTCATTACCTGGTACATTTAATCTCAGCATAAGTGGAAGCTCCCACCCAGATGCTGATTTTGTCAGCTTAACAACGTATACAACCTCATAAGTTACTCCTGGTGAGAGCTCTGACATAGCCAATTTACCTCGCACATCTAACCAGCACACACTGATCAGCTTCGCGACTTCAATATTATCATCACTGTCGAATTGACAACAAAGTTACCAATGTAAATAGTTATGATGCAACCAATTAGAATTATTAATAGCTTCTCCAAATAATATAATACAGTAGTAATTTGAGCTCTTTAACATGAAAGTATGCAAATGAGATAATAGAGAACTTACTCAGTGTCTTTGAAGCTATTCCAAGACCAATACCAACTTTGACCCCAAGTTATAAACAGGAATCGTGCATATAACATAAAACCATAGCTTCCATCCTTGGTATCTACCCATTTTTTCTGCATATAGCATAACATAAAGGAAACCGTATGTTAGACGACACAGTAACATAAAGGGGCGAAGCCAGGAATAAAAATCTATGAGGGCCTAGAAACGATAAAGTTAACACAAAAAAAAAAAAAAAAAAAAAAAAACCAAAGCGGGGAAACAAATTTGAAACCTCCCTCACCTCACCATGTAAAGCTCCAACAAATCAAGTGGGCTATCAGCCTATCACTAAGAACATGATATGCAAGACAAATATTAGCTATTTATTAATTATTTTAGTGAGGTTAGACTATATATTACATATATCACCAGTTGGACCATAGTAAACATACTACAAAAAGAAGAATATTGAAAAAAAAAAATTACACTTCATCCGCTTATTTATACATACAAGTTGACTTTATTAATATACTCCTTAATAGTCGACTAGTATGTATTGAGAAATAGAGGAAGCATAACATTTTATGAATTTCATCCTTTTCCTTTTAGAGATTTCCTAACCTTTCTCTTGTGCTCGAGGAATAGTTCCTCTGTCTTCAATAATTTCTTCCCCATTAGTTTTGATGAAAGTTTTTGCTTTTGCCTTGTGAGATCATCCCCGTCTTTGAACCACATATATAAGAAGCTGCAGGGGTAGTCATACTAGTCATTGTAGCAAAGTCAGCTGATCAACGCGATTAAGCATTTCTTCCCCATTAGTTTAGATGTCTTTTCATAGATTTTCGAATTTCCGACCCAATTCTGAATCATCTTCTGGAATCGTATAATTGTCAAAAGTCTTCCGCTCCTAATCCCAACATGAACTACATACGTAGTATATTAGAAGCTGCAGAGGTAGTCATTGTAGAAAAGTAAGCAGATCAACGCGATTAAGCATTCTGTTTTGACCAATTACAGTAAGACGCGTTTACTAATAACCTCATATGGAAATTGTTCTGAAACTACACTTTGTTACTTCTAGCTTCTGTTAAATTACGAACTTTTTCACTATAAAATATGTAGTTGTTTAACATCCGAGTACCATCTCACAAACAAAATCAGATCATTTCATGCTTCCTCTGAATTTATACCTCCATAATTTCCAGTTTCCAAAACTTTCTTGTTCCATATTTAATTGATTCTCTATTAGAAAGAGAACATCAGTCCAATGTCTGACTTGGTCTCACCTCTAATAGAGCCTATAATCACAAAAATCATAGAGTTAGCATTTTCCTTCAGCAAGAACAAGTATGATAAACTCTATGGAGTTGAAGGCGAGATTGAAAAGCTAACGAGCAACTTAAGCTCCATTGCAGCGGTGCTTAAGGACGCAGAGCATTGCTGTTCAGATTCAAAATCCGAGCAGCTAGTTGATTGGCTGACGAAGCTTAGAGATGCAGCTCTGGATGCAGAGGATATACTGGAAACTTATGCTGCTGAGGTTGCTATGAGAGAAAAGCAGAGGTACCCTGCCCCACTTGCCTGGATTTCTTCTCGATCAGAAGCTGCAAATAAGATCAAGAAGATTGCGGCAAGGATCGGCACAATCTCCCAAGAAAAGAATAACTTCCATTTCAGGCCCAAGGACTATGGTGGAACAGAATGGACACATCAATCCACTAGGATTGGCCTGCGCGAAAGGGATTTTCTAAGGGACACATCAGACATAGTTGGCAGGGACGAGGAGAAAAATGAGGTTGTTAGATGGTTGCTCTTAGAAGAAGAATCTGACAACAATGGGCGTGTCCCTGTGTTTCCCATCATTGGGATGGGAGGCCTAGGAAAAACAACCCTCGCTCAGCTAGCCTATAATGATGGGAGGGTCTATAAAAAGCGAGATGAGTCGTGCCATTTCAAGGTTGCTATGTGGATTAATGTCTCAGTGGATTCAAGTGTGGATAGGATTCTTCGGGAGATGGTTGAAATCCTCACGGAGATGAGGCATGATATGGTTCCTCAGAGCTCAATCAAGTCTCATATCTTGGAAGTCTTGGATGGAAAACGTTTCTTGCTTGTTTTAGATGATGTGTGGGTTGAGAAATTAGACTGGGAACCACTTCATGATTTCCTCAAGCAATGTCCAAAAGGAAGTAAAGTCTTGGTTACCAGTAGAAATGGGAATGTCGCAAGGATTATGGGCGCAACTCATTTACATACCTTGGGACATTTGCCAGAGGAACGCTGCTGGGACCTGTTTGTAAAACGGGCCTTTCCACCAAATGGGGCATTTTCAACAGATTTGGAAGAGATAGGGAGAGAAATCATCCGCAGGTGCAATTTTCTCCCTCTAGCAGTGAAGGCAATGGCAGGCCTTTTGCGTGGGAATAATGATGTTAGTCAATGGCAGAGAATCCTGCGAAATGGCATCTGGGAATCAGAGCAATACAGCTTTGGAAATGGGGCTCCAAACATTCTGCCAGCTCTGAAATTGAGTTATGATCATCTCCCTTCTCAACTCAAGCAGTGTTTTGCATACTGTTACATATTCCCAAAAGGCCATATGTTTGATAAAAATGATCTGGTCAAACTGTGGATAGCTGAAGGTTACATCCAACTGAGAGGAGAAAACAAGCTGGAGGAAGCTGCAAGTGATTATTTCAACGAGTTGCTAGCGAGATCCTTCTTTCAGATCTTAGACATTGACAGTCAGGAACAGTTCAAGATGCACGATCTAATTCACGATTTAGCGAAATCTGTCTCAAGTTGCTGTCAGCATGTTGAAGAAAACAAGCCTTGCTCTATAGAACAGACACTGCGGCATGTATCACTTAACTGTAAAGATGTTCAGAAGCCTGCACAAGAGATTCTCAAAGCTAAGAAGTTGCGCACTTTACTGCTACCGATCAGTTACCCCAGAGATTTTGGTCATACCCTTGATAAGATGTTCCATGCATTGAAGTACATGCGGGTTTTAGATCTCAGTTCAAGCAGCATAGTTGATCTACCAAAATCAATAGGGGAACTGAAGTTGCTGCGGTATCTTGACTTATCAAGAACTGAGATCAGGTTACTACCCAACACCATTTGCAATCTCTCCAATCTGCAAATACTAAAGCTCCTAGGGTGTCTTTGGCTTCTGGAATTGCCAAAGGACCTTGGGAACCTTAGAAATCTCCGATATCTTGAGCTGGATGAGATGTTTTGGTATAAGTGCTCCACATTGCCCCCAGGTATAGGAGGCATAGCTAATTTGCATAATTTGCATACTTTCCATGTTCGTCGTGAGAATGGATATGGAATTGAGGAGTTAAAGAGCATGAACAGTCTAGAAGGTACACTACACATTTCTAAACTCGAAAATTCAACAGATGCAAAGGCTGCAGAGCTCAAACAAAAGGAAGGCATTACTAAGTTGATACTTGAATGGAGCAAGGAGGTTGCCAATTCACAAGATCAAACAGAGCAAGATACTGTCCTTGAAGATCTTGAACCTTATCAAAGTCTGCGAGAGCTCCACATACATCAGTACATAGGAAGCAGACTTTCAAGTTGGATGGGGAATGGAATGCTCGAGAACTTATACAAGCTCTCCTTAAATCATTGTGCAAGTTGTAGAATTCTCTCTCTTGGTCCATTGCCGCGCCTCGGGGAGCTTTTCATTAAAGGAATGCTAGAGTTGGCTGAATGGCCAGAGACACTATATCCTTCTCTCACGAGAGTAACGATTAGTAAGTGTCCACAGTTGCGGGAGCTTCCACGCATCTTCCCAAACCTCAGGGTCATGAAAATCAAGCACTGTGATGCTCTGAAGGCTCTACCAGTGATGCCAACTGTGGAGTTTTTGTTTCTCAGCAACAATGCCTTGCTAGAAGAATGGAGAGAGGTACCTGTCTTTATAAGGAATCATGGAGGTCAAGATGAATATATACAGCAAGTTTCATTCATGAAACTTCTCGAGTTGAGTATTGTCAATTGTCCAAGGCTGCAGGGCATGCCACAAATCTTTTTTCCTCAGAAACTGCAGATAAGTGGGTGCCCTTTACTAAGGACACTCCCACAGCTCAACCAACGTCTTCAGTGTCTGGAAATAGACAACTGCAATGGTTCAAGCTTAATAGAGGCAATAGAGAGTACAGGCTCCTTATACTCGCTGATAATTTCTAATATAGCCAACCTTGCCTCGTTACCAAAATTGCCACATCTTCCTCAACTGAAATCTTTGTACATCCACAACTGCCAGGATCTGGTTTGTCTGTCTTGTGAAGATAGTTCACTGCAAAACCTCACTTCCCTGGAGTTTCTGTCTGTTTCAGGATGTCAAAAGCTGGTGGTGTTTTCAGAAGAAGGGCTTCCAACATCACTTGAATGCTTGAGTATCGAAAACTGTTTCAAGCTGCAATCCTTTCCTACAAGAAACTATCTAGCAAGCCTCACATCCCTTAAAGATCTATACCTGGAGGACTGCCCCAAACTTGAAACATTGCCAGAAGACGGACTTCCCATCTCCCTCCAGCACTTACGCATTCGAGGATGCTCTCTACTCACACAACAATGCAACAAGGAAGTAGGTGACAAGAATTGGCAAATGATCAGCCATGTTGCAGATTTGGAACTTGATTCTATTATGAATCATGAACCAAAACCATCTATTGGTCCAAGTAAAGGTTGTCTAACTTGCTTTACAGGCAAATAGAGATTTTCTGCAAATAAAACAAGCCAAAGTGCCAATTAATTATAGAAACTCAAGGGAATGGTGAGCTCTAAAGAGACACATTGCATACTTTGTCTGCAGAACTATTCAGTCAATTTGTTTCATTTATGCTCATTTAGATATAAAATAAGAAGACATAAAATAAGTATTGTACTGCCATTACTGTTAATTGTAGATAAAATATACTCCCTTGTACTTTTCTTCTTTTTATTTAACAAATGCTCCAATAGCAGAAATCAATACAGCAAACTTCGTCTGCTTAGATCTTTGATACACTACTTCACAGCATGCCATAATTACAACTAGAAAGATTCCAACATGTGAAGAGAATGTCTGAGTAGCCAAAACTTACATTTTTAGAGGAAAAAGAGCAGATTTGTATAAAAACATATTAAAATTTATAAAGTTCCAACAATTTTCACTAAACTCATCACCATAGACGACTGTTCCCTCACTTTGGGTAGCCGCTCTGAGTAGCTCCACATTGATTGAACACAAATGTTATCTAGATATAAAATTTGGCTGCCAATTAAGTGTAATGTTTCATCAAATTTATCATAAACTTGAGACCTACGATGACATAGGACTACTAAATCTCAACAATTGGTCTACAAAACCCTTACTTCATCCATCATTCAGGGTTTAATATTTACACAGATAAATTGTCACCGGTCTTGAGCTTCATGCATTAGCCCAACCTTAATATCAAGTTCATTACGGTTTCTCCATTGGGATTTTTTTTGATATGAACTGTTAGAAAAAGAGAAATGAATTGGGATTTTACTTAATTTCCATTTGTTAGAGTTGAACTAATAGTTTACCGATGTAGTACAGCCAATTAGCCAATATAGTTCAACCCCATTTGGATCATCTCAGTGTAAAATCTTGCAATGGCAGGCAAACTTCTAATGCAAAAACCTTGTAATATTTTGAGAGGTTCAGATCTCCAAGCTCTTAACTTTTAACAAGTTTGACCTCAATAAGTTCAGAATGATAAACGGGTCTAGGTGTTAGAATCCAACTCCTTTTGATGTATTAGATTCCATTTAAGTGCTTTCCTAGAGTTTAGGTTATGTTTTCTTAGCTTGAGGTCTCATTATTGTGTTACTGTCAGATCAGTGTTCACTAGGGATTCTTCTTGTATGTCATTTAAAGCTCTTTAGAGGGCGAATGATTAATGAAATCTTAAAGCCTTCTACCAAGTGTTACCTTGCTTTTATGCTTGTTTGTTGTTAGACCTTTATAGATATTGTGTCTTACTTACATATTAGCTCCCCTCCAACCAAACTTGATGCGCTAAGGACTCGTGGTTCGGACCCGCTTGTGCCCGCTTTGAAGTATCGGCCGTCACAAGCCCCGACCACCCGCACTCCGTCGCCCAGATAGACGTGAGTGCTCCTGAGATTCTATTGTCCGCTTGTGTTGCTTTGTGCTCACAAGCCCCTCTTCCGCTCAAGGCTAGCGTTCTTGCCGCCAAAAGGCTAGAGCGCGCCGCACGTTTCGGGGTCCAAACTCCCGGACCGTGACAGTTGGTATCAGAGCCGAGGCTCAAACCTCGTCGCAAGCAACCCGTGTAGGCACCAAGGAGGGCTACACGAAGATGAAATTCGTAGAAGAAAGGCTCGCTTGGCTCGAGGAGAAGGCGGACAAATGGACCGAGCTCCAAGTCATTGTACACGAGCAAGCCGAGCAAATTGTGAAATTGATGGCAGACATAGATGCCCTCCGCGAACAATTGCAATTTGTTCAAGGAAAAGCCGACGAAGCACTTGAGAAATGTGCTACCTTAACGCACGCTGTGGGCAGAGACGCAGTGGGTCTTGGTGCGGCGAAGATAAAGCCGCCCAAACCTCGCGACTACAGTGGCGCTAGAGATGCGAAAGAAGTTGATAACTTCCTCTTCGACATGGAGCAGTACTTCCGAATATGTCAACTAAGTGACGATCAGAAGGTGGATACTGCCATCATGTACTTATCCGAAGATGCTAAGCTGTGGTGGCGCACCAAGCACGCAGACATCGAAGCAGGAAGGATCAAGATTGATACATGGGCGGAGTTCAAAGAGGAACTCAAAGAACAATTCTACCCCGTCAACACAGCGTTTGTTGCACGGATGAAGTTGCAAGAGTGCCGCCAGAAGGGTTCTCTTCGCAACTATGTTAAGGAATACTCGGCGATAATGTTGGACATCACAGACATGAATGAGAAAGATCGTGTGTTCAACTTTGTCAACGGGCTAAAGGAATGGGCGCAGTGAGAGATTTTGAGGCAGAATATTGATACCCTTGCTGCTGCTATGTGTGCTGCTGAGAGATTGATGGACTACTCAGTCGGGAAGGGTCGTCAATCCGAGAAGGATTCAAGTGGGACGTCAACACGCTCTAACAGTCCGTCTCCAAGCTCTCCAAAGGGTACAGAGAACGGCTCACGAGTATCGTCCAACACCATTAATACATATCATAGAAGAAGTGGAGGAGGTGATGCCCAGAGACAAACATCTACCCCCTCCCACAACTCAGGAAACTCGAGGGCCGGCGCATCCTCGGCAAACACAAGGGCAATAAACTGCATACTTTGTCGAGGTCCACACAAATGGTGGGATTGCGAGCATAAAGAAGAACTTGACAAGATCCAAAAGAGATTGCCATCCATGTCCGTTCAGGAGGCCACAAAAGAGACTAGCAGCGATGAGGAGCCCACATATAGGATGGGTTCCATACGACGCCTGAGTGCTATGAGAATGATAGCACCTCAAGAAGAACCAGAAGTCCGATATCTTTCGGCAATGCGAGTGATGGAGCCTGAGAAGAAGGCAACATCGAAGAAACAAGCTCGCACCAGAAACCCAGAGAAGCGGGAGATAAAGCCCGTGGAGTTGGCAACATCCCAGATACACACCCGCCAAAACCAGAATCAGTCACAAGGTTCGAAGCAAAGAGCGACGAGCCCAGAGACACCAAAGAAGAACCTCCCAAGAGGGAGGAAAAACAGTGGTTGAGCAAACAACGCAGGGCGCGTGCAAGGGATTACAAAGAAAATGGTCACCCAAGAGGCACCAGCCACAACTTGAAACTCTCCACCACAGTCTCAAGGAAACAGCTCCCCAACAGATGATGGTGGAAGCAGCTGTCCCCCTTAATTCAACAGATTCCACTCCCAGGAGGAAATTTAGAGATGAAGCTCTCAACAAGATGTTCGAGCCGAGCGACTCCAGAGACAAGCTCCTCGTCAACAAAGAAGATCCAGCTCAAGAGTCAGATAAGATTCCAGAAGATAGCCGCACCAACGGCGCATCCGAAACTTGAGATAGTTTAGGGTTTTCTAATTTTGATTGTAACTTTTGTAAGTCGACGAGGTCGTCGACAGCTTAAGTGGGGGAGGATGTTAGAATCCAACTCCTTTTGATGTATTAGATTCCATTTAAGTGCTTTCCTAGAGTTTAGGTTATGTTTTCTTAGCTTGAGGTCCCATTATTGTGTTACTGTCAGGTCAGTGTTCACTAGGGATTCTTCTTGTATGTCATTTAAAGCTCTTTAGAGGGCGAATGATTAATGAAATCTTAAAGCCTTCTACCAAGTGTTGCCTTGCTTTTATGCTTGTTTGTTGTTAGACCTTTATAGATATTGTGTCTTACTTGCATATTAGCTCCCCTCCAACCCAACTTGATGCGCTAAGGACTCGTGGTTCGGACCCGCTTGTGCCCGCTTTGAAGTATCGGCCGTCACAAGCCCCGACCACCCGCACTCCGTCGCCCAGATAGACGTGAGTGCTCTTGAGATTCTATTACCCGCTTGTGTTGCTTTGTGCTCACAAGCCCCTCTTCCACTCAAGGCTAGCGTTCTTGCCGCCAAAAGGCTAGAGCGCGCCGCACGTTTCGGGGTCCAAACTCCCGGACCGTGACACTAGGCCACACCCGTTACAACTGTCCACTTTATACGACCAAGGAGGTTCCACCTCAAAACCATATGGCAATGAGGGGAGTAGCCCCTTAGCCTTATAAAGTGGACACGACTTTCTCTTTTCTTCAATGTGGGATACACATCCCAATATTTCTCTTCACTTTTATATTCTTTCAATGTGGGATAACAATTTCACTCACATGTGGGTTTCTCATGGGCTCAACACTCCCCCTCACATGTGAGTTGTCCATAATACTGGCCCAGATCACAACACAAGCCAACTTGGCACTGATACCAATCCTTAATCTGCTTCTCCCTCAATTCAACTCCTTCGGTTCTTCTTTTCAACCAAATCTCATAGAACTCCAATTTCTTAACCCTAATTTCAACCCCCTTTTTGAAATTCTGAAGCGATGTTCGAATAAACTGATTTTCTCTCTCCTTTGACTCCACCTCCTTGACTCGCTCCTCGATCGATTTGTTCACCCTTACGAAAGATGCCTGCAATGTTCACCATTGTTCTGAAAGAGCAAGCATTGGAAATGGAAATCCTGAAACGTTTCGCCGAGTTTCAGCATTAACAACTTCGCAACTCGAAGATCGTTCGTTGTTTGATGTAATTTAACAGCTTCGCAACTCGAAGATAGTTTGTCGATGGAGTTGGAATCAAGCAATACAAAAAACCATTCTATTCTATATTTCTCTCTAATTTATCATGGTATCAAGAGCAGGTTAAATCTTGGGACCGCTCACAAAAATTTCCCCCCTGCCGGTGGGTTAGAAAGTTAAACCCACCGGTGGGATTCAAAATTTTGCTTCCGCTATGCAATATTAATACTCTTTAAATTTATTTTTTTTTTTTGGGTTGGTACACGTTAATCATATGTGTATGTGAATTTTTTTTTTTGGGAGAATTTTTTTTTTTTGTGGGAGTATGTGAGTGGACTTCCTCCACTATAACACATATTTGGAGATGAAGACATTAAATAGCGTTATGCTTGACGCAATATTTAAAAATAAAAAAAAAATCGGCTCTCTTGTTGTCGAGAGACGAGAGCGGGAGGTGGTCGTACGCGAAGAGGCGTGTAGTGTGAGGGAGAAGGAAGAGATGGAGGATATTGATGAGTTGTATAGTGTGTTGTTGGTTAAGGAGAAGGAGATTAATGAGACAAAGAGGGTGTTGGGGTCGAAACGGAAGGAAATCAAGGCGGGTTGGGAAGTGTTTAAGGAGAAAGATAAGGAGTTTAAGGAGCAATGTTTGTCGATGGAGTAGGAATCGAAGCGATTGAGGGAGGAAATTGAGGTGTTGGAGTTAAAAGAGGAGGAGGTTAAGGAGCGATTCTTGTCGACGGAGTCGGAATTGGAGAGATTGAGGGAACAAAGCAAGGCGTTAGAGTTGAAAGAGAAGGAGGTTAAGGAGCAACGCTAGTTGATGGAATTGGAATCGAAGCGATTGAAGGAGAAAAGCGAGGAATTGGAGTTAAAAGAGAAGGAGCAATGCTTGTCGATGGAGTTGGAATGGAAGAAATTGAAAGGAGATTAATGAGCGATGTTTGTCGATGGAGTTGGAATCAAGCAATACAAAAAGCCATTCTATTCTATATTTCTCTCTAATTTATCACCTCATTTTCACCTATAACTATTCAATCTTCATCTCATATTCTCATCTAAATTAGTTTCTAAGATTTGAATCTTCATCTCACCTATAATTTTCTGGGTAAAAAGATTTGAATCTTCATTCCACCAATAGATAGATAGAAATAGAACATACATCAGTAATGGAGCAATTAAACTTAAAGGATGAATCTTTGTCAAATTTTCTCTGTGGCATTTTCACAAACAGTTGGTATACATGTAAAAAGTTGGTACTTCTTTTACCTCCATTGGATATTAAATATTGTGAGATAATAGGTTGAAGCATCAAATTTCTAAGTAATAACAAAGATTAATAGATGGATAGAGAACAAACCTCAGAAATCTGGAGAGTGGCTAATGATGTAGCCTCCATAAAGGCTGATTGTGCGCCACCATCGGAGGAGGAAGTATGGAATTCTCTTACTCCTAAAGTCCTAAGCAAATGTAAATAGTGGGTCTCGAACTTGTGACCTTAACTGATTGTTTAACTTAATTGTTATATCGACTAGCTGAATGTACTAGCTGTCGGACCATTGTCTGTTTAGAAATTTGTTTGGTGAAATTAAATATTGGTTATTGGCGGTAAGAAGGTAAAATGATATTTAAGGAGATTAATTATAAACTACTCTGAATGGTTTGATTATTAATTTTGAATAGTGAACTATCATTATTAATTATAAAAAATGATTTATCTAGTTATTAATTATTTTATGAGTTATTAATAAGGAGTAATGTACAAGCCAAAAGCCAAAAAGAAAAAAAATGATTTTGGCTTAAGACCTGTTCTCATACGTTGAAATTCATTTCAGTTCAGTTAAGTTCAGTTCATCTCTTAATTTCCTTTTCTTATAAAATATTCAGTCTAGTTCAGTTCAGCTGAGTTTAGTCAATGAGAATATGCCCTTAAATATCGTTTCAAAATAAAAAATTAAAAAAAAAAATCATTTAACTATATTGTCCCATTAGCTTTTTCATTTTGGCTTAAAAGCTAGCTTTTCAACAATTAAAATATAAATAAACATGTTAATGACTGTTTAAAGTTTAAACCACATAAAAAATAAAAATAAAACCCAATAGTTAACCAAAAAACCTCTTAAAAGCCATTAATCGAAGATAACAAAATTAGAAATATGAAATTAAATCGCTAAACCCTTGTACACCCTGAGCATTCAAAGTTTCAAACTAACACTTTGTGATGTATGCAGATGGAGCTATGCTATGTTATGCTTGAAAAGTGAAGACTACTATGTATTCAACAGCTTATCTCCACAATTATGTGGTAATCAAAATCTGATTGTGATAGCACTGCACTTAACCAACTCAACTAACTTAAATAATATATTTGCACATAAGCATGCTAATACCACTTCCAATATATTCCATCAACTTTGGATTGCATAACAACTAAACATACAAATATACTCTATTATATAATCAAATTAAAGGCATAGATCTTATCTTATTCTAGCTTTAAAAATAATATACGAGTATATAAAAATCAATTTCTTTCACATCAATAAAATTTTCTTTTCAAATTTTTTCTTGAGGAATTGGATTCCAACAAACTTATTCCTATATTGACTTAACATAAATAAGAAATATATATGGGAATGATACCAATTGCATCACCCAAAGCATTTGAGCTAACTCTTAATTAATTATTGATTTGAAGTATGAAAATAAATACTCTCTCTTTATAAAGGTATTGTGGTTAGAAACTATTTGATAGAAACTAAATAAAAGTAGGGCTAGCTTGGGAATGAATTTATTGTTTTTCTAAGGAGAAGTAGTGACAGAAACTTAGAGATTAATTCAAATAGATTGATGGTCCATTCACATTAACTTAATTTCAATTTAGTTCAGTTCAGCTCCAATCAGTTCAATACAGTTCAGTTCAGCTCCAATCAGTTCTGTACAGTCCAGTTCAACTCCTAATTTTTGTCTCTCATAAAATATTTATTTCAGCTCAGTTTAGTTAGTTCAGTTCAGTTCAGCTCAATTTAATAAATATGAACAGGCTCTAATTCACTCAAATGAGAAATGAAACTTTTGCTAGGGACATACATATAGAAAGAAATAATGAAAATTTTCCCTAGATACAAAGGGAGTAAAACAAACGTATATTTTATGCCACCTTCGTTATCAAGAAATCTAATTAGACAGGAAGATGTGTTATATACCTATGTATATGTTAAAGACATTGTATATTTCATGAACATTATAATCTTAATTAAACCATGCATCTCTTGTATTGGAAAGGCGGCTGTAAAAGTGACGTTGACATTCGTTATTGGAGATGAACAGCATTCGACTTATTATTGGTCACGATGTATTAATTTAAGAGGGAATTCAAGTTTATCTCCTCGATAAACTTGAATCGTTTATCTGGGGGCCTATATGTCATTTTAAGGTGTCGGGTCAGAGGGCATTTTTGTAATTGCACGTTATAATTGATAAGGATCGTTATCCCAGACGTTAACATCCTTTGACTGCAGTCTACACCCCCTGGCTCTGGTTAACTAATTTAACTCGTCTTCCTCAATAACATCCATTTCCCAAACCCCTGTCTATGAGGTTATTTATTGACATCAGCGGTATCCATATCAATTCTATTGTGTTGGATAGATTGGAGGGTGATTGGGATGCTGATGAAGAAGAAGAATTTAAGACGCTTTTCCTCATGGTTGCTCTTCAAATGGTCCTATGTCCTACTCAGTCACCAAGACTAGCTGCTGATCTTGTCCCTGCATTGACGTGTGCTCGTGAATGTGCGAAATATGATTGGTGTGGTCTTTTATTGAACAAACTCATGGACAGTGTGCTGAATTTTGCTTGTCGTTTTTACGGTACTGGGTTTGCTAGTGGTTGTGGTGGATGCACCATGTTCTTAGTGGTACATACTTTCAAAAACCATGTATATTTATTAAAGATGTTGGATGTGGTGTATGGTGAGCAACATCCTCTGGCTGCTAGAGACACAAATGGACCAACACACCAAACGGAGGTTGGGTTTGCTATTGAGAATCCTCATGACTGCAAATTAAAGAAAAAGAGGAGGGGTGCTACAAGTAATAAGTCTCCCCATGACCGTAAAGCTGAAAAGGCACTCATATCACCTAAACTTGGTTCTTCCAACTGCCCTTTACCTGTTATGGATTGGTGAGTTTTGAGTTAGTATTCCATGTAGTTGTTCAAGTATGATTGATTTAGCTATCCTAATTTTGTGTTTTGTTGCAGTCTGTTTGTGAGGTTACTGTTTTTTCTGGTATGAATGAGAGATTTTGGATACCGATACAAATTCACCCGTCATGTAGAAATCTGTTTAGAGCACGTTGCACTGCACGATACAAATTCACCCGTCATGTATAAATTGTGTTATTTGACCTGTCCTGGTTTTGTAAATACTAAATATGGACTTCTTCATTGTTTCAGCTGATGAATATCCGGAATTTGTTGGGCGAACGATCATTGAGTTTTTTCGCGAAGTTGACAGGATGGAGCATTACGATTTTGAATAATAACCCTGTACGTGTGTCGGAGAATCCTTCTGATGCAAAAACTTCATTGAATTTGAAAAATTAATGATCACAACCCCCATGCTCTGTACTCCGTATATTCCAAAGGCATTTAGTTCTCTGCATATAACCCGTGCCATGTGAACTGAGACACGCGTTTCAGTTAAGAATATAGTGTCCGACATATTCATTTCAATGAGCTTGGAAATAATTGGCAGAAATGAATCACGTGCCATGTTCCTGCAGTTCCACACAACGTATCTTGAATCCTTTTCAGTGCTTGAATCAGTACGTACATAGAATGACATTTTGATATTCGCGACCACCATTCTGATTCATGTGTAACAACAAACAAAGAATAGCCACAGTGTGTTTGAAACAATTTCAAGTCGTGTGAGTAGTTGTTAATAGTTATACGGTTTTCCCCTATATCAAGGACACAACTTTCATGACAAGCTGGGAGTATTGAAGGAGGGTCTATCATTGACATGATTGATTTAGGGACGATGTGATGCACTTTTATCCCTCCCAACCCTCCTTCTTTCCTCAACATATGTCTCACGAATATCTTCAAAGGCAATGGAAGAAGTGCTAAATCTGGAATGTAGGAAGGACAAACCTTGTTTCCTTTTGTGATAACAACATCTTTATTGCAGTGCAGTCCTTCAGATATCCAACCTGCGACAGCTCGAGCTTCTACAATCTTCACAGCAACCTTGTCATCCCAACTCAAATACGGACTACGCAATAACCCCAACAACCCCTTGTGAACTGAAAAATTACCGACAACCGGGTTTGGTGGTCGGTAGCTTAACTGCAATTTTCGTGTTATCGTTATTGGTAATGGTCGTACGATGAATGTGGGTTTTAATTTTTTGTCGTATTGATCGTTGTTGTTGTAGCTAGTTTTCCTCTTCAATGGTTTGATTAGAGAGGACCTTATATGTAGATCGTATTCATCCATAACTGAATGCTCTTGGGAATAGGGTTAAAGATGGTGTGATATGTGTTCTTGCTGAATCAGGTCCACTTTATAGCAACCCTTTGTATCCTAAAATTCATCTTTGGCGGGAAATGAAACCCTTTTTTGGCGCCCATGCACATCCTTGAGCCTGGATCACCCAAGTCAGAAATAATTTAATATAACAAGATTTCTGTTTACATTTTCACAAAATCGTCTGTTTTGTTAATGCTAATGCAATGCCATATTTTGTTGAAGTTATATTCTGTTTGTAATGTTAGAAGTATTGATTTATAATGTTAATATTACTTAGTTAATGCTAATCTTACACTGAAATACAGTAACCATAATCGGTATGTTAATGGTTTTGCCCTGCTTGTCATTATATTCTGTTAAGAATGCTAGAATTTACACATATGTTTCGGTTAAAACATTATTTTATCGTTATCTTCTTTTAATATTGAATTTAAATATAACATTTGCCATATAGACTCATAAACAGGGAAGAATACTAAGTTTCCAAATTAAGTTAAAATGCAACTACAACTTCACTTCAAAGCCCACAATATTTCATTCAAAAGAGCGCTAACACAACTACTGGGGTGAATACGCTTACCCTAATATCTAGGAAGTGTCTATACTGCTAATGCATCATAATCCAACCAATGGGCCACTTAAAAACCAGCAACTACTGTCACCCATTACAAGTTGTTAACAAGGTACTAATGCATCTTAAATCCAATGGGGCACTCAAAAACCAACAACTAGTGTCACCCATTACAACTTGTTAACAAGCTAATAATGCATCTTAAATCCAATGGGGCATTCAAAAACCACAGCAACTAATGTCACCCATTACACATCCAATCATTAATACATAAATACAGAAGCAAAAGGTGGCCGTTTCCCAGTACCACAGTTTTCAATTCCCACGCACCTTCATCATTAACACTTGCATAGATCTTTGCTTCACACTCACACTTTTTAGACTTCCTTTTGCCTTGTTTCAATTGTTGGTCTGCCAAAATCCCACCAACAGCCCCCGCAGAACCACACACCCCCATTGCTTTTGCTCTCTTCTTAGCCTCTCTCACAGCCCTCATGTCCGGCCTACCCCAACACTCACACCTCCAAGTAGTCCCCCTTCTCTCCCTTTCAATGCAGTCTTTCTTATTTGAAAATGATCCTTGCACCCTACTAACCCCAAAACCCATTTGTTCAGCATATTCCTTGTAATAGGCTTCAACATCCTTCCAAGTCTTAAATACCATCCCGACCGCAGGAGGCTCAATAACACTCAAAACACGGTATGAACAATCTCTGTAGTGCGTAATGGGGTCCTATGATTAGAACTTCCAACACCATCCACAACAACATTCCTAACTCTGTCGGGAGTTTTCAGTATTTCAGCATGCATTAATTGATTATGAGCACTTAATTGATTAGAAGTTAGAACCAATGACGACTTCCAATTCTTCAACTCCACTTCCCCTGTCCAAATCTTCCATCCCCCTGCCTCAATCACTACGAGCTAATTATAAAACTACAGCACAACATCACCTATAAACTAAGAATAGCATAATATAGAGAATAACCACACCTAAAAACTAAGGATAACATAACATAATAACCAATCAATCACAATTCAAAGACCATTTCCATCATTAATTTTTTGACTGAAAAACCATATAATCATTTTATAATTCAGAGAGAAGAAATATTAAGGAGAAGAAAATGAAGATAACTACATTCACAACATTCAATCATACTTCAAACAAAACGTAGAGAACTAGATTCACCGTACTCAATTGCATCTGCAATTCCCTAAAGTACAGACAATTACTCATTTCACGGTGATTGATGATAAACTCAAAGAATAATACATAAAAACGAAATCCAAAGCAAGAAATACAAACTAATCGACATACCTTGCTAAAAATTGAATCCTTAATGGAGATTTTACAACATGTGCGACAACCAGGATCGCTAAAGCTTCAACAGAACGACGAACATCGGTAAAGGAACTGAGAACTGAGAATTCAGTTTTAGGCTAAGGGATTGAAGAGAAAAAAAATAATACCAAACTAACTCACTCCTTCTAACCATGGTCAAAGAAGAACAAACGTCGTTGCATAACGTCTCTAAACACAGCTCTCTGACATAATCTTCCACTTCCCCCCATGTGCGCATACTGTTGATGTATTTTATACAATATTGAGGTTTACTTTTGCTATTATTTACAACATTGCCACTCGATTAACAAAAATTCTTTATCGTGGAGATTAATGGGGCCTCCTCTTAATTTAATATAATCATATTTCTTTGACATAATAATATGCCTTTAATATTCTTATTTGAAATTGAGATATATCTTTGCGGAAAGAAAATGCATAGTGAAGTTTCATTTATCATCTTATTAGAATCCCATATGCATAGCATAACATCGATTTTATGCGATTTTCATAAGATTAATTAGTTTGCGGTATATATGAATATCATAACACTACAAAAATAAATGCTTTTTAGCAATTAAGTTTGGCAATTTTTAAAAATTGCTAAATAGCAACGAATATAATTTTTTTTCATTGCCTAATTAAAAGCGACATTTTATGCTTTAGTTTTTTAATAATTAATGGCTACATATTATTTTTGATTTGTTGCTATTTAAAATAAATTGTCTTACTAGTTGTTACTAGATTGCATCATATTTTTCTCTTGTTGTCATGTAGTAACAAACTATGACAACAATTTTTTTATTTGTATTGATTTAGAAACAAACAAAGGCAATGAATTTTTGAATTGTTGACATTAGAAACAAGTCGTCTAAACTTTGGTTGCTAGATGATAACGTATTTTTTTATTTGTTGTCATTGGAAACAAATTGTGCTATATTTTGTTGTATGTAGTTCAGTTTTTGCTATTATGTATAAAATTATTTGAAGACACTCTTCTTATTATTTGTTGCTATAATGACGAATTTCAATTTCGTCTCTAATTTAGAGACGGATTTTTGATTTTGTCCCTAATTTAGAGACAAATTTTTCAATTTCGTCTCTAATATTTCGTTCACTTATTATGAATTATATGTATAGAAGTAAGCAAATAGTACTTTGTATAGTTGGTAAGAGATTCATCATGTGACTTTGAGGTCACAAGTTCGATTCCTACCAACCAATATTTATGATTTGTTGCTATTTTTATGAGCCAACTTTAATAATTTGTTGTTATTTTTAGGAACCAACATTAATAACTTGTTGTTATTTTAGGAACTAATATTAATAATTTGTTGCTAATTTTAGCAACAACCAATGGTAATCTGTTGCCAAAGTTGGCAACGAATGCACCAAAAATAGCAACCATCATGGAAACCGTATTAAAATGGATGCAATATTGCAACAAAATTGCTTTGCAACTGGTAGCCAAAATCCCATGGCAACAAGCCTTTTAGCAACAACAAAATTTTGTTTCCAACCCGTTGCTAAATAGAGTTGGCAACGAATTTTTTATGAATAGCAACAAATTTTAGTTGATGCTATATTGACTTAATTTTGTAGTGTAATACTTGTATGTGTGTTATGCATTGAGAGGAATCGCATAATATATTCTGAATAGGGCCTGTTCACTTTAACTTAATTTCAGTTCAATTCAGCTCCAATCAGTTCAGTTAAGTTCAACTCCTAATTTCCTTCTCTCATAAAAAATTTATTTCAGCTTTATTCAGTTCAGTTCAGCTTCAATCAGTTCATTTCAATTCAATTTAGCTCAGTTCTGTAAATGTGAACAGGATATTAAAAACAAATATTTGTAACATACATGAGTATTTAATTAACTAGAATAATTTTATTTAACATGGAGAAAATTATAGATTTATTTGGACAACGATTGAGTTATAAGCCTTGAAATTCAAGAGGACCCAACGATAATGTTGTCAACATACCACTGTACTGAGTTATTTGCACAGTTAGATGGTACGGTGCACATAATTGTACTGATTACAAAACATAATAAAACCGAAAAAAGAAAAACAAAAAATGAAGCCGAATTACATTCGCGTAGTGGTGTTACATCATATTATTGTTCATTTGTTCCTGCATTTGTTATGCTACCAGCACGGTTTTTGCTATTTCAGGAAAGAATGCATTTCTAAATCATCATGGTTCCATGAAGCTAATCAATAATAATAATGATGGTTTTATAAATATAATTATTGTCTATATTTAGTGTGGTCTTATCCCTCTCTAATAGTAGGGGTGGCAATTCAAGTGGACGAGTCAGATTAGAGTTAGACTTGAGTCAATTTCAGATTGTGTTAAGAAACCATCAACAATAGTGTAAAATTTATAAGGGTTATTCAAGTTCGGTTTAGGTTGGATTCAAGTTTCTCTAGTAACTTATGATCGAGTCGGGAATTGTCAACCATGCTCCCTAAAAGTCAATACATTCAATTTGTGTACGGGTAGGGGCTGACCTTTGTTTGGGCTGGCTAGGGCCCAACACCCCTAAGCATTTTGGAGTTGTTCAGTATAAGTAATATGATGCCTATTTATTGCATGTAAAACGTTGTGGCAAAGTGGTTTTATATTGTTATTTTTGAACAAAGGTTAAGGGATTAAACCTTGACCCCTCCTAACCTTTTTGGCCTAAAATCCGCCACTGTGTTTAAATAAATAATACAATGAGATCCCTTCGATGTCTAGTCGTGAGTCTACAAGGTAACATGTTTGGTTATTGAAAGAAAAATTATACTCTATATAGAAAAGACATGTTAGGCGCGTGAGAGTCAAACTTGAGTCTCTCATCTGAAATAAAGGTTTAAACACTTGGCGAACTTCCACAAGTATTCTTTTTTAAAATAGTCATTACAAATGTGGTTCCATTCGAACCGATAAGATAAGAAAGATCAAATAGAAAACTTAGAATGTGGTGGGCAAAATTATAGCCCCCTCAAGTAGTATAATGATTCAACAAACTCTAAATACCAAATGTGGCTTATGATTAGATGAGAGTGGTCGATCGCGTGACTTTGGCATGATATGGTATTAGATTTTGTTGTTTATTAAGAAGATCTGTCCATGTCAGAAATTAACCTATTTTTTTTTACTATATTTATAGGCTTCCACGTATTGGAGGATTTATAAAATATGATCAACCCACGTGGATTAGCAACAATTAACGATAATATAATCTACAAGAGTGCATATGTAATTATCAAAACATGTAATTAAAGTGATTATCATCATCAAAATAAAGAATTAGAAGACCACCCCATTTCAATTTGGACCACCATACTACTCTTTCACATCACATTCCTATGTTAGTTTAAGTAGTTTTTATATTCCCTCAAAAAAAAAAAAAAAAAAAAAAGTAGTTTTTATATAAACTTCACAAACTCATAAACTCTTAAGCGTGTAATAAATATTATAAGGCGGGTGTAAAATTACAGTATAGTTTAAAAAATGTTTAAAAGTCACTTTGATGTACCTAATAAAATAAAAGTCATATCTATATTTTATAACAAAATGAAGTTTCTCTCAATATAAGAGTTTGTTCTCATCTACTGAATTAGGCTAAAGTGAACGATTGGAGTTGAACTGAACTGAATATTTTATAAGAGAAGAAAATTAAGAACCGAACTAAACTGAACTAAAATTAAGCTGAAGAGAACAGGCGACCCTAAGAGTAGATAGCTATATTATTGCTTTTTAAAAAGCTACCCATTGAAATTTAATTTCTATTGCACAAAGATAAACAAAACTGGTTTAAAATCACTCCAAACTAGTTAATTAGGTGCCTTAATATATTGTATGATAAAGTTAAATAGTGTACACCCTAGACATATACAGCAAAGTTAAATCATTAGGTACCCCAAACACACACAAAAAACTTTCATTATTTTTTTCTGCAATAGAAAGCATGATTTAATTCAAGAAAATGTTCATTTTGAGTGCCTAAGTTGTTCCATTTTGCACACAAAAAATTTACTCAACGTGAATATACCAACTTGCCATCTTAATTTGTTAATTAAAGTTAAATTTTATAAATTAATTTGCACACAGCATTTAATTAAGCAATCAATTTATAAAGTAGTATAGTAGTTTAAGGTTTAAGCCAAAATAGGTTTGTGTAGTTAATTTAGTTGAAATTACGTGATAATCATATTAATAACATTGATGTAGTTTATTACTTTTTCAAGAGTGGACATCACATAAGATATTCGATACAAAAGTCCAAGTACTCAAAAATAATTTGAACCGATTTGTACTATCAGTTCAAGTACATATCCACTCCATACACGAGATCAATGCTACCTCAGTAATCACTAGTTTCCGAGCATTATTATTAAGTTGGATCCGATCCCCTACCCCTCCCCCAAGGTGCTCTCTAGTCTCTATCCCCGCCTACTTACAAGTGTCACGTAGTGGACTCTCATCGTACATGACAATGTCACTAACTATCTATAATATGAACATAACATAACATAACATGCATATCTAACCGTAGATTTCTTTCTTTCTTTCCCTCCTCTACAAATTCCCTCCTTCCTTCCATCTCTTCTCCAACCTTCAATCCCCTCTCTTTCTCTCTCTAAAAAACTCTTCAAAAAATAATAAACATGACAGCGGACACTAAAAAATCCTCAGAAATCCCAGATTGTGAGTACCACCCTAACAGTCCTTCATTAATCACTCCACATCTTTCTACACCAACTCATTCTCTCTATCTCTCGAATCTCGACGATCAAAAGTTCCTTCGATTCTCCATTAAGTACCTTTACTTGTACGAGAAGGGTGTTTGTGTTGAGAGTTTGAAGCTTTCGCTTTCGAGGATTCTGACCGAGTATTACCCTCTAGCCGGGAGGTTGAGAGCTACTACTACTCTTAGTTCTACTACTCATGAAAGTAGTGATTATCAAAAACTTGAAGTTGAATGTAATGGTGAAGGTGCTTTATTTGCTGAGGCTTTTTTAGATTTATCTGTTATTGAGTTTTTAGAGTTTTGTGGTAAGCCTAATAAGTCTTGGAGGAAACTTCTTTACAAAGTTGATGCTCTTTGCTTCTTGGATGTTCCTCCTCTTGTTATTCAGGTTTGCATCTCGACTCGTTTATCCATTTTTTATATTATAAATTCTTAGTTATTTTCGGGTATACTTGAGATACTCAGATATATATATACATATATATATATATCCAAATTAAATGATCAAGTATAAAATAACCTAAGTTAACAAAATAAGCGTGTTTGTATACTATAAATAGTACTTAAGAACATAGTAGTCGTGTTGATCTTCTGTACGTACAACTCCATAGGTGTGATTCAACAATTGATCTCCAACATAGTAAAATTAGTAATGGAAAAAATTATAAGCTAAAAATTTTAATTTTCAATTTTTGAAAAGCCAAAAAATAAAAGGTAAGAAAAAGGGAAGTAGAAGTGGGGGCATACTCGTTACTAAACAAAAAACGGATAAAAAATGATATAAGTCCACTAATTTGTCCTTTAACTGGTAATTAAACTCCCTTCAAAAAAAAACTGGTAATTAAACTAAAATAATATAATTTCTATAATGTTAACTATTTTTTGAAATAATGTGAAAATATTTTCTAATATAATTTAACAAGCGAAAGGAGTTATAACTCATTAACTAGATAAACTAGACGATGTTTTAAGTAAAATATACAAGTATATATCAATATATGGATGATGATAATGTAAGTTTAATCTTAACTATAAACGCAGTATTACATACTCTATTGAGAAATAAGTAAATAACACAAATTAGTACTTCGGATATTGTAAAAGTGTACATTATGAATAATATGTAACAAATAAAGATTCCAGATAACTTTCACACTAATATAAATGATGCAAAAGCTTTCAACTGTAAAGTTATTAGCTATTCTAATTAACATATATTCCAAGGTTACTAAATTCAACTATTCTAGCTAGGGAATTAGTTCCTTTTCTCTTTTTTCGATGGGAGTGGATTTGAGCTAGATTTGGTTAATTAAAAGATTTGTTACAATATCCTGAATTAAATTGAACAAAAATTATAGTACTAGTAGTACGTTGCATAATCTACTCCGTAATCCCTCAATCATTAATTTTGAGTATGTTCACTTCAGCTTAATTTTAGCTCAATTCAGTTCAGTTCAGTTCAACTCTCAATTTCATTCTCTCATAGTATATTCATTTCACCTCAATTCAGCTTCAATCAATTCAATTCAGTAAATATGAACAGGCCCTTAACATTTTTACTTCAAATTCTAAGTTACAAACAAGGGTTAATAGTTTGGCTGAGTACAAATATTTTTTTTTTCTTTTAAAAACGTACGGATTCTACTATATATTAGTACGAATAATGGGATATAATTTTTTTTTATTTTTTTATTTTTTTATTTTGTTTTCGCTTATACAACTAGCAAATCATACTATTCTTATCTAAGATATTTTACACAATAAACAAAATTCCAAACAATAATGAGCTTTTATGTGCTTTCAATTCATTTTGAATGATGACAACGTCAAAAAAGATTGGTAGGTTTTTTTTTTTTTTTTATGAATTTGGAGGTATCATTCCTCCAAAAACTTACCAAAGAGTGAAAGAACATACACAAAAAAACATGCTCCAATGAAACTAGGCTTATAATACTTAGACTTAAGTTTCATATAATACGTTATTGAAAGCAACCTTTTATTTTGACATGATTATTGATTATTCCTCTATTTCGTTAACTTCATATGTTGCATGTCCATTTTCTCACCTTGTTACTCTCAAATGTCCAAAACATCACATGCTTATATTCTTGCCAAAAACATACAAGTACACAAAACCTTTATCATAAAGTCACATACTAAAGTACATTTCAATATGGTTTGGGGCTTTCTTCTCATGCATTATTCCATTTTTTGAATTGATTTTCCAAAACATTGTTGTTTTCATTCAAAATCTCATATAATAATATTCACATTAAACAAAATATTATGTTATGAAATTCTATTTTGGCAACTTATATTCTACAAATAATTTATTTTTAATTAGACACGGATATCTTAATTACTTAATTAGAAGATTAGTAATAGGTGTTTGGAAAGGAAAATTGCCCTAAGGGCCTGTTCTCATTTACTGAACTGAGCTGAGCTTAATTGAATTGAACTGAATTGAATATTTTTTGAGAGAATAAAATTAGGAACTGAACTGTAAATAAGCTAAAGAAAACAAGCCCTAAGTTATCCACAAATCAATCTAGGTCACATGTCCTTGTCGAATCCTTAATCTCTGTCTTCACTTATATATATGATGTTCATTTTGTGAGGATTTATCTACTAATTGTTTTACTGTAAAACGAGTCTAATCTAACTACTTAAGAATGGATTAAGAGTTTCTACTTTTATAATAGTATGTCAATAATGCAAATTGAATTACATTGACAATTAGGTTATCTAAATAGAATAGTGAAAACACACAAAAGCAATTGAAATAAAACAGGTGAATCGTTACCACACTATCCCCACTACTTGAGCTGAACTTATTGGTAACAATTTTTAGCAAATTAACAAATTAAAACGCATACATGCATATTATTACAAAATAATTCATAGCATACATGTAAAGCAACATCTATATGGATCACTATCTAATTAATCTAATATATGAATTCTTCATCTTTCTTTCTTTCTTTCTTTCTTTCTTTCTTTCTTTCTTTCTTTTTTTTTTTTCCTTTTTAATTTATGACATAAGACGTAGCACATATGTATGTCAATCATCACTATAGACAAGTAAAATCCTTCATTGGCAAAGAACAAAATTTTTGAATTATCTTATGATTAGAATTTAATAAAAAATATATATTTATTCCATTGACAAGTAGTTAAAAGTACTATAATCCATTTAATTTATTATTAGCAAAGTGATGTGAACGGGAACAATGATTAACTTTTTGATTGGAAAACTAAAAAATCATTTGAAAGACCGATGAGCTCGCAATTTATGGGATGGCTTTCTGTTTCTTTTGCCCTTTTCTTACCCTTTGCTAAATCCTTTTTGATTTAAATATCATATCCTAAAAAATAATAATGTATGAATATCACTATATCTCTTTCAATTTTATTTTGTTAATTTTATTGCTTTGGAATTATTCAAGAAAATGACAATAAAGCCATGGATGACCCTACATTTCATGTGCAAAATTTACTCATTTGGATTTAGTGTCACTAGCTCCTCTATTGTTCTTTTCACTACTTGTTGGTTGGTGAATTTGTGTGTTTTTTTTTTCCATCCTCAATATAATAAGAAATGATTATTTGAAATTATACTTGAGACTAATCTACAAATATTTAGGCAATATTATAAATTTATAGTAATTATATAAGTTAATATAAGTATATATATAAATAGTGTAAAAGTAAAGTTGATATCTAAAAGATACTCACCTTAATAATTTAACAAAAAAATTTAAGTCTTTTATGAAGTATAGTATGTCTTAAATTCACGATAAAGAAGTGATATCTTAGCTTGTCTCATGTAGTTATCTCATTTTTACCACTTAACAAATTAAATAGTCTTTTCAAAATGTTTAACTTTAATTTATTTATACGGCTATATATTTGTGTCTCATATTATATGCAATGAATAAAAATTTGCTCCGGTCAATAACTAGTTTTGTGCTAACATACACACGTACCTTATTCTCTAATACAGGTAACTAATCTCAGGTGTGGTGGAATGATCCTGTGCACAGCAATCAATCATTGCCTATGTGATGGCATTGGCACATCACAATTTCTCAATGCTTGGGCCCACATCACTTCCAATCCCAATTCTGATCCACCAATCCAGCCATTCCACTATCGACACGTGTTAAAACCTAGGACCCCATCAAAAGTTACCTTTACTCATCCAGTGTTTACTAACTTTACCCCTAAGATTGGAGAAAATGGCCATTTTGCCCTCAACAAATATTTACAGTCTCAACCCCTTGTTGCTACATCCATAACATTCAACCCCTCCCAAATTCTTAAATTAAAAAGTAAAATTACTCCATCACAAAAATGTACCACATTTGAAGCCCTTGCATCTCACACGTGGCAAGCGTGGGTTAAATCATTAAACTTGTCACATTTGCTTAATGTTAAACTTCTTTTCTCAGTTAACATTAGAAAAAGGGTAAAACCAGAGTTACCACAAGGGTATTACGGGAATGGGTTTGTTCTTGGATGTGCCGAGACAACGGTAAAAGATTTGGTCACCAACAACTTATGCCATGGGGTGAAGTTGGTCCAACAAGCTAAGTCGTGTTTAAATGACGATTATATAAGATCTATGATAGATATGTTGGAGGATAAAAAGGTAAGAACAGATCTATCAGCAACATTGGTAATTTCTCAATGGTCTAAGTTAGGTTTAGAAGATTTGGATTTCGGGTTAGGAAAACCATTACATATGGGTCCAGTAGCTAGTGATATTTATTGTTTATTTCTACCCGTAGCTAAAGATCCTGAATCTGTGAGAGTTCTCGTATCGTTGCCTCCAAAATCTGCTGAAAAGTTTGAGTTTTACATGACTCAATTTTTGGAATGTGACCGAAATATCGAGTTGAATGGCTATCATAATAACGATGGAGATATGTTAACATATTAAGATGGTACATGTATTGCACCACCTTTTCCTCCTAACATGTAATTATTTTTATAAACTGAGTAATATAAGCTAAGGTTGCATTGTATGTGGAAGCACCTTGGTTACCCTTTTGCTCCTTATAAGTTAAAGAGTGGAATGGCTAGTAAAGTTATCCTCAATTTAGTTGTAGAGTTTTGTACTTGAAAGCATTTTCTTCAACAAATCATATAACCATTTGAAAAGTTTAAGTTGCACAAACTATTTGCCATAACTTTTTTTCATATGAAATCCTATGATGGATTGTGTTGCCGACGAATCTTTGGAGCTTTGGTAATAAGTACTCTTTTAGTCTTTCTTACTTTCCATCTTTGACACCCCATATTGTTTGGTCTGAAGAAAGGGTGAACTTAAATCTAGTCATTTTCAGTCCTTTTTTGCCCAATGTTGTAAGTCTTGTAACATACTACATATAAGTTGCTAATAGGTGTCACACATGTTTGACTAGTACTTCAATAAGCTAGTTATTACTATTACAGATCGAGTAAATGTGCAGTATGATCTTACCAACAAGTGGGTCGTTTATACCTATGAGCCTTATATAATATAACAAAAAACTTATATAAGGCTCATATTAGTAAAATATAAAAAATTAAATTGACACCTATTAGCATGTATATGTACTGTGGTTATAAGCCTGATTTAACACGCTCTCATTTATAACATTTTGCTACAAATTAATACACTAACTTAGGAGGTATAGAGTGACTTTTCTCGACCTAACGTTCAAGGCAACTTCTTTGCACTTCTTAAAGATGTAAACTAACATAAAAATTACCATTCTACTGTACCAATCTAAAACAGTTGAACACTATAAATATCTTTTCAATTATATACAGAATTAGCCAAAACAATCAAATGTAAGCATATTGTATTGTGTTAATAAACTATCAATCATAAACCCGACTATATATAACGTATTCAAACAAGTTTAGATTATGTGCACCAAAAAAAAACACAAGTTTAGATTATCATTGCATATTTGCAAGAATGTCATAGGTCCAAAAGTTATCACCTTTTAAAACATATTAACATTCCCTTTAAATTAAGGACATTACCATGTAGCAAAATGCATGTTTTCCTTATATGACCCACATAATCTTAAACTTTGGATTTTATCATCTCAAATTCAAGATTGTTATAATAAGAAAGCCTAATTATTTAAGCAAAGATCACAGCAATATAAATTTGTGACTAAGATGCCATCCTTTTTTCCCTCCTTTTTATCTTAAAAGATTTGTGTTCAACAAGAATATCATTGACACTGTCGTGACGTACCATTTATTTTGGTATATTTTCCCCTTTTAGCTGATTTTATAAGAAAACATCAAACATTATTCGTGCAATTATTCAAGAGTAGGGCATACAATATAAGGTGGAACTCCAAATTGGAATTCATTATTGCACTCTTCCGTACCTTTCCTTTGCCTTTGCTTTGAAGACGCATTGCAGAGGCCTTGTTGTGTAGCAGTGTAGGGCGGTAGGGCCCTTGTAACGTTTATCATGCCTGACATCAACTTTACTCGTTCTTGAAAACTTACAACAGTTTAACTTTTATACTGGTACCATTCTTCTAACTTATAATTGACCACATTTTCTTACCACTGTGGTCAAAGTTTGTGTTGCTTTGTGTGCTAGTTACATTGTTGCGATTATATAGGAAGGAAGTTAAGAGACAAGGGACGAATTGAAGTAACAAACTAGAGATAAGTTTATCAATAGATGATTTTTTTAATGGCCATTGGAAGCTACAAGAAATAACATAATTTGAATTCCTTCATCTAGATGATAACTTTCTACTCTACTTTTGACTGATATTGTTCATGTTATAGACCATGTCCATCTTTAATTGAGATAGCCACCTCACGTTGTGCTAGGAAAGTAAGCAAATAGAGATAGTCTAGATATGCTCCACTCTTCACGACTAAGATTGGTGCCTTATATACCTTGGTTGTTCGGACACTAGAAATTTAAAGGAGTGGCTAGGAACCTATATACATTATTCTTTAGTTGGCCCAAGGATGACTCAGGGAGCATATTCTTCACTACTCTGCCACGGTGGAATTGATGATAGATTTGGGGTCGATTCTCATTATCCACAACTTCATGATTGGACATCATGTAGGTTGTATACACGATATACCCTTATAGATATACTAATGATTCTCGATTATGAGTCTAAATGACTGAGGTTTCCTTGCGCGTTGAGGATTCAAATCCTCTAATCACCTGCCTAGCGAGGATTGTAATCAATGAGTACGTTTTTCTAATTCATGTTAAGGTTTTTGGTAAAATGTCAAACATAAAAGTAGCTACTTGATTGTTAATTGACATATAAAGACATTGACATGAACATCAGAGCAAAATGAAAGTGCTAAGGATCTCACTGGCTTTCTTCCATAACTTCTACGCTTCAATGCGTCGAATTTTGTAACTTCATAGTTCAGTTTCATAAACTAACAAACCATTTTTTTTATTGAAAGAAAACTCCAACCTCAAAATACATTTTATTTTTCAGGGAAGCGGCTAACACTTGGTATCCTATGACCCTATGTTTAGATAACCAAGTGAGTGACCACCCAAGGGAAGGGTGAAGTGAGGCTGTGACTTAACCATGTAAGTCGGGGTGAGCACCAGCTAAGCTAAATGTCGTCCTCAGTTATTATTACAACATAGTTACAATTGTGCCTCGGCACATTCTAAACTGTACAATAAGAAAAAATAAGGCCAATTGTCAGGAAGGTTACAGGTATCATATGGATACAACAGATGGTGCAGACAAAAATCTACCTTCAAGTTCAAAGATCACTGTGATCAATATGTCAGTATAATCAAGATGTAATGAAGTCACCAGAGACGTCATCATAAACTGTCAAGCCGATGAGGCCCATTTCCGTCAGCCTCACCACTCTCATTTTGAAGAATGTTGCCTGAATCATCCAACCACTCTTCTAGTCTAGCTTCCCTATCAGCCTTGAACTCATCATATTCTATTGCTTCTGGCAATACGAGTTGAGATTTTCCATCTACGGATAAATTGCCGCCTTCAACTGCCTCATTTTTAACCTGACTAGATATAGGCAAATCATCAGTTTCCTCCACCTGAGTGGAACTATTGCTTCCAGAAGGTAATGGCTCCTTTATATCGAGTTGAGTACCTTGTGCCCACTTCAAGTTAACTGCCTTTTCCTTAGCAGACTGGAACACGCTTGAAAAGTAACTTCCTGACTTCACAACATCATTCTGGTCACTAATTGCAGAGCGGGCCCATGCTGAGCCCCAGGAACTGGCTGCACCAGCCTGATAACTTGAAGTGCGTTGATGGATAACACCTCTAACCGGCTGTTTGGTTGACATTATGGTCAGAGATGTCTTAATATCTCGAATCATTGCATCAATAACTGGGGAGCCACAATTTTTCATCGTCCTTGTCATAGCTACAGAATCCTCCAAATCTTCAGTGTGTAAACTCACTTCATGTGACTTTTCCAAGATGTTATTCTTGAGCCTGATTATGTTAGGCACTGCTTTCTGGGCATGCTGCTGGATGTAGTATAGTCCTACAGAAGGTTCGTTTGCCACGTACTTAATCATATCTCCCAAGTTCTCATTTATCTCAACAAAGCCATCAGCAGGAGAGAGTTCACACATTTACTACAAGTACACAAACTGGAAAGTTAACAATATGCCACCTCCAAAGATAATCTAATACAATGAACACGTGAAGTTTGATAGTATATGTATATTTACTTCCAGAATCAATGGATAGAAATTTAGTAGAAAAGATACGGAGAATAAAAGGTCAGAAGTTTCACAACCTATGCAATGTACAAAATCTTTTCTGACTCCTGGGCTTTCTATGAGTTACGAATCTTACGATTAGTAGCTGGCATAAATATCACATAGCTTATCTGACAGGTACTGATCAATTGAAGGTCTCAAAGAGATTGACCCTTCTACAGACAAACAATCTTCTCTTCTTAAATACAAATCAGTAGCACTACCTTGAGAAAAGGCATTCCTAACTTTGGATCTAATACTATAGTATAGATTTATAACCTTATATATACCAATCTAATGATATAGCATTTTCAGCTGAACGAACACATATTTAAGTATTCAATTAGAATCAAGTTGGCCTTTTAGAAAATTAGAAGTCCATAATAATATTGGAGGTCTGGAGGATGAGAAAAAAGGATCATAACCAATGAGGCAGGCAGAAAAAATAATCCGGAGTAACTAAGAGAAGACCTGTTCCAGTTCCAATTTACAAAAATTCTAGAGGCAATATAGGTCTCTTATGTTCTCCCAAAGCATCAGTCTAGAATGTCAATGCAGCTATAAGGTCAAAAGGTCATCTCCAGTGAGGTCAAGATGTATGCACCCTCATTCCTAACTAATCAAAAAAAGAAGAGAGCTGCACATCAAAATTGCATTTTTATCCAGTTCTGGATTTGATTTCAACAGATGATCTAGAAACGAGAATGAACTGAACACAAAAAAGCAAAGGACGTCAGAGCAGCAACTCATAAGAAGAGAATGTAAACCATAAATCAACGTCTTTTAAGTATGTCAACCATAAAAAGGTAAGGGAAGGCCTAATTAAAGCATGGTCTTTTGAGTATGCAGACAGACTGGATGATAGAAATATCAGCCCAGCCCTTCCTGTATCCATTACTTAAAGATTTTGTGATTGATAAGGTAGTCCCCGTAGTTTGGATCTCTGTGAGAACAAAGCATTTAGTTCTGCACTAAAATAGCTTACTTCAACAAACTTAATCACACGCTACAATGGCCAACCTCTGCAGAAAAGCTGTGTCTAAACTCAGATGGGTTTCTGAAAGTATGCTATAATTGTATTCATGTCCATTTACTCTTCACCAAATAAATCAAAAAATAACACCAGAAATGAGTTCAAGCTTTCTTATATGGTAAAATCCTTTGTCTTTACTAAATAATCCATTGTCGAATCATGGATAGCATTACCATGATAACACATCCTTACTAGCTACATGCCTACATGTCATGTTCCCAAATCTGTTTGACAGGTGTATACACATCCCATAAACTACAAAGTTCTACAATCAATTATAATGTTGCAGAGATCTTTAGGCCTTCGGGAACGTGAAGGACATCAGAAATCTTTTCCAACTACGCATTACAACCATGACCTTACCAACATCTCCGTAATTAAGGCTATACTGTCACTTGGGTACAAAACACAGCAATAAACAAACTCGAATACTCAAACCTTTCCAAGATTCACTTGTTCATAAAATATATACAGACACATACCCATAGTCATTGGCGGACCTAGTTAATGTCATGGTGAGTCATATCACTCACTAGTCTACCCAAAAATAAATTTATTTGAACATTTGGTTGTATTTTATACTTTTTGAATATTTGGTTGTATTTTTAGTATTATTATTTGATTGTTTGGTAAAAAAAATTTATCACATGTTTTATTATCAATTTTGACTCACCGGACGAAAATTCCTAGGTCCGCCACTGCCCATAGTCTGAATTTTCCATCAGTTTTTAACACTCCACAAAAAGTTAAGATCTCAAAACCTAGCTGAAAACGAGTCCATCGCCAATCCTACCATTAAACATATTACAAGTTACAACCTTGCATCTCTTAACTTCCCCCCAACCCAAAGCAATATCTTCAATCAATCTCTTTTCTACCCCTCTATCCCTGCATCCATCAACTCGCCTCGCACCTGCACTCAATACCTCCGTTATCAATCTAATTAAAATCGAATTCTCGTTCATTATGATTACAGACAACGCTGTATACAACCTTTACTTGACTTACTCCCTCCTTTCCCCAAAGAACAAAAAGACAGTTCCTTTAAGCAATGTACAAATCCAAATTGCATAAACCTAAACCCCTTTTGGATTTATAATCATCAATCAACTACTCAATTCCCAAAACAGTGGTGTTGGCAATTGCACATAAATAATTACCAACCCATGCAATACAACAAACAAAGTGCATTACCAAATTTTCTTTCTTGACAAATTCACAAAATTCTTCAATTGTCAAACACTGACAAAAAAAATGTGCATGAAAGCGTAAATTAAACACAAAAACTTGGTAATTAAATTCGATGAAAACGAGAATAAATCATACCCCAATTCCAGTTTCTGAATAATAATTAAATTAAAGTATTCAAGAAAGATTTGAAATTAGTACCTGAGATGGTCAATTCCACACCCGGAAGATGATTTGTATTGCTTGAAGCAGATCCACAAACACCATATAACTGAGCATTACCTGAATTAACACGACGATTGAATAGATAATTTAAGGTTCAAAATTAGGGATTAAGAAGTAAAGTGATAAGAAATTGTGTTAATTATTTATACCTGAATTTATAAAATTCTGGGTTGTTGTTGTGATCAAATAAGTTTGTTGGGGATTTTCAGATTGAGGAAATTTTGACAAGATTGATAATATGAGACAATGGTAGAATTAGACTCCAGTAGGACAATTGTTGTTTTGTGGGAAAAGGATGATGGATTGAGACATTTGAGAATTCTAATCTTTCTTCAGCGAGGCAGGCGGGCGGGCGGGCGGGCAAGGCCAATTGTTTTGGATATGGATACGGATACGGATACTAATATTGATGTAGTTTGTAGTTTTGTACGAGTTGATCAGTAGATATAGTTCAGAGTTGATGAGATCATGAGAGATCCTTTTATCTAAATCCGAGACTTGATTTGCTTTCCAAAAAACAGTGAGAAAATATAAAAATAGAATCTGAATTTATTAAATCAAAATTGATATCAGTATCAAAATTGAGATCTCTAAAATAATATACCATCAAATCCGCTGCTTGATTTGCTTTCCAACAGAGAGAAAACATGCCAATATCCCAAAGAATATGGATTTATCAAATCAAAGCTCATATCAGTATCAAGATTATGATCTTCCAAAGAATACATCACTATTCTAATCCGATTCATAATATTAATCACATAATGACATTTCGTGTATCATTCTAACATCCTCCATTTATGGGATACCTTATAAAGATACACCGTGACGATTTTGTATATTTTATAAAACTTTGTTGTGATACACAGTGAAAAATCGGAAAAAGGAAACCTAGGTAAAATAATTATCACCTAAGTTATGGACCTAAAAAAAAATAACAAATCTGAAAAACGTGTGAAGTCTTCTTGGTCAACTGGAATATCTTTATTTAATCCCACAAAAACACAACATGTTTCTTTTTGTTTGGTTTAACAGATACCGTTAATAACCCCTAAATCAAACTCCTTCATCTTGCTGCTGCTTCAGGTTTCTCTATCTCTCTCAATTTGTTTTTGTTTAGTCTATTTAATTTACTTTAATGTGTTTGATTTTATTTATATTGTCAAGTAATTCATTTGAATTATATGTGGTGCCAATTTTTTTATTTAAAGATGCAATTTTTTTCAATATTTTGGATTATGTTGTCGATTTCTAGGTTTCTTTAATTTTTGGCTCAATTTTCTCGTGTTCATCATGTATTGTTGCTGAATTTTGTGTTATTATTATAAATCATGATGAATTTTTGTCGAATTTTGGGTAGTGGGTATATTAGGGTTTCATCGAATTGATTTCTGTCGTTTTTCTGGCTGGAGGACGAATTAGGGTTTCAATGGTTCATGTTGGCTGTGAGGTTGAATATCCTTTTTTATTTGTTACATATAAATCATGCGAAGGTGTGAAGTTTGCTTTGGAAGTTTTGTCTTAGTTGGTTTGCTGTAAATTGATGAGGAAAATCAAGCGTGGGAAAGTATAGTTTGTAATCTGTTATACTAAGAAACTATAAAATTGTAAAGTCTGAGAGATCTGTGGAAATCTTTGTGTTTCGTTTGGTTTTATGTAGCTTTCCGCCTTTCCGTTGAATTTCTTTAGATAATGATGGGATATTTTGGAAAGTTAATATAGAATAAGAAGAAAATTTGAATACTGGTTCCATTATACCTCTGTAGTTTGTAATCCGTTTAATTTCTATTGCAGTTGTTTTTGTTACATATAAACTAGATGCTGATAAGCCGGACGAATTATAATTACTGGTTCCATAATCATACCTCTGTAGTTACTTAGTTAGATTTGCATAGATATCCTGGGATCAGTTGGTTTAGTAACCGTTTGAGTAAGTTATTATATGTCTGTAGGGTCCCTTGATACTTGAAGTTATATTATAGCTGTGGTAGCTGATGTAGTTTCTTCTGATTAATTTTTATTTTATTTTTTTCAAAATTGTGCAGCAATCTTGTTAGTGGAAAGCTCTTAATCAATTCAGCTGTAACTTTAGAGGTGCCATTCCTATAGATTTGTGGCGGGAAGAGCCTCTTTAAGTGAAATTGTGAAAATGCCAGCGAATGCTTCTCAGAATGGCAATAATGCCACTTGTAAAGATTTCACTGGTAACCTTCATCCAGGTACACGTGGCTGGTACTTCACCAAAGATGAAATAGACAACTGTTCACCGTCTAGGAAGGACAGGGTTGACCGTGCTAGGGAATCTTCTCTGCGGAAATTATATTGTTCATTTATTAAAGATCTTGGCATGAAGCTTCGAGTGTAAGTGCATCTGTTGCATACATTATTACAGTTTATAAAGTTTACTTGCCTAATTAAGGGATATCTTTTGGATAGTTATGTTCAACTACCAATGATGTTTATTAAGGCAGGGATAATGGCAAATTGAAACTCGGTGTATATATTCTTATTCAGGTTTCAATTAGAAATTTAAGATCAGGGGAAAGCTTTAGAAGATTCTGCTAGTTCTATAATGTGTACTTTTTTTTTTTATTAAGTGTGATATTATACATTTCAGGAGCCCAGTCACTACGGCAACTGCAACAATGTTCTGCCATCGATTTTTTATGCGCCAATCTCATGCGAAGAATGATTGGCAGGTAATGTTGCAATCCTGACTTGGCCTGCTGTATATATATATCAGGAAATGCAGCTGTATATTAAAATTTGCAAAGGGTTCCTGTTTGTCTTATTGTAATACTAAGTATTTATTCATTAGCATAGTAGATAGTAATGATGGAAGATAATTTACCAAGAAATACTACCTCATCCCTGCCTTTTTTAATACCCCCTCTTCTGTGTTCTTCTCTTCTTCTTTCAAGCTTGTGTGCTTATTTATTGCGTTGTCTCTATAGGATCTATGCTTCAAATATTTCAAAAGGAGACCATGATTACAATATACTTGTATCTTTTAGAAGTATCTATAAAAGCTACTAGCAGCATTTTTGCTTCCTGCTTGTGTTTCATCTTTGCTGGATAAAAATATGTCTAATTTGTTTTTATATAGAGACCTCATGAATCCTCTGTGTTCCTCTCTTCTTCCTTCAAGCTTGTGTGCTTATTTATTGCGTTGTCTCTGTAGGATCTATGCTTCAAATATATTTCAAAAGGAGACCGTGATAACAATATACTTGTATCTTTTAGAAGTATCTATAAAAGCTACTAGCAGCATTTTTGCTTCCTGCTTGTGTTTCATCCCTGCTGGATAAAAATATGTCTAATTTGTTTTTATATTGAGACATCATGAATCCACAAGAGCACAACAATAGTTTATAATTTATTTAAAAGAGATATTAGTAGCGTCTCATTCGATCGATTATGTAAGGGAAAAGTTGGCACGTTTATGATATCCACAATTTATTGTTTTCTAATAAGGTACGTCAATGTTCTCGCTTGTGATATTTTGATAGTTAAACCCGACTGTTGGCTTTTGCCCCCCCCCCCCTTTGCACCTGTTATTGTGGCAGATATGAAACCTTTTGTGATTTAAAAAAAATGTTGTAAAAAGTATTATCTAGAATCTCTTTGGAACTGGCTTTTAAACTTTTAGTATGAGTTTTATTCAAGTGTATTGTCAGGTTGTATCTATATTCATCTTGGAAAAGCCTAAAGGGTTCTTTTACTTAGAGTTCCTGGATTTGTTTTCATTGTTTCTACCAACCCCTCTCTTTTAAATAAGGGGATGTAGCTCATTTGGTAGAGCGCTTGCTTATCATGCGAGAGGTATGGGGATCAATACCCCGCATCCCATAAATTCATCGTTTTTATTACCTTGTTCTTAGATTTTAATATCCCTTAAAATCTAACCAAAATTTTTTCCAGTTATAGAAAATATATCTACAACCTACAAGTGTAATATATCTGTAGTTCATATAACTTGATGTTCAAAGTTGCAAAAAGCAATCAGTGACCTAAAGAACCCATCTTCATTCATTAAGAAAATTAACTTTCTACACATCACAAGTAGCTGAGTAGTTGAGGCTGAAGCAGCTGCAGATGATACAAAGAAAAAATATTCTTTTTCTTTAAATTCTTCTCATAAATAGGGCTTCTTTCTTTATCGTTTGCTCTATGTACTTTGTTCCTTTTCAATTTGGTCTAATAATTGTATTTCTACAAAAATGATCATTTATCATGTGAAAGTTATATCTAGTAGGGTAATTGAACACAAAGCATAGAAAAGTTTAATTGTATAGGGAGTAGGGACTGTCAAATGCAGTTGGAGATTGTAGTGTTCAAATGACTTTTGCCACACTACTGTTCCTAGTGGGTGATCTGTCCTCACAAATGTGATGGTACAAATTATGCAGACAGTTGCAACTGCTTGCATGTTTCTTGCTTCCAAAGTGGAGGACAACCTACGTCCGTTGAGGGATGTTGTCTTGGTGGCGTATGAATTAGTCTATAAATGGGATCCTTCTGCATCTGAGAGAATCAAACGACGGGTACGTTGGTCCTTTCGTGTCCATAAATTTACTACAATAGTTATTTTTCTAGGTGTTGCTGAATTTGAAATCTGTCTTGCTTTCATCTTGTAGGAGGTTTATTATAAGCAGAAGGAGCTAATTCTAGTTGCTGAGAATCTTCTGCTAGTGACAATCGACTTTGATATGGCAATTCAACACCCATTTAGCCCACTTGTTGGTGCTTTAAAGAGGCTAAAGATCTCAAACAATGAAGTTGCAAAAGCAGCTTGGAATCTTGTGAATGAATGGTAAAGATTTCCCCTTTTGATTACTCATCTTTGTTTACTATTGGGCTAAAGTTTGTATCTGTATCTCAATGTTGCTCAAATAATCTGTTCCTGTGCTTTGTAGGCTTAGAACAACGTTATGCTTGCAGTATAAGCCACACTACATTGCTGCTGGATCCTTGTCAGTTGCAGCCAAGCTTATTAATTTCAAACTGCCAATGGTTGATGGAAAGGCTTGGTGGCTGCAGTTTGACGTGTCACCTAAGCATCTAGAAGGTTTGTGATTATTTATTTGTCATCATTTCTATTTTTTTTTCCTGCTGTTGAAACAGTGATTAGCCAGTGGAACTTTGGGAAAGGTATACATCACCTGAATTTTGAAAATTTCGGATAAAATTGTTTCTGAGAACCTTGAGAAATTGGGAAAATATGTGTTATTCTGTGATTCTTTAATGGTCAATTCATTGCTAGAGAGAGAAAGGTATGTGCAATTGGTAACAGAATGAGAGAGCAGGATATTAAAGGAAGATTGCAAAAATCACATGAACGCTTGAGCTTTTTATTTGCTT